ACAAACGCTCAAATCAATTGCCAGGATAATGTTATTGGAGCCCAAAAATGCATTCATTTTTTGCATTGATTTTAATGTTCTCTGATTTTTTAAAATATATACAATGCTTCACTTGTATAAATATATATTAGCAAGTGATACATATATAGCAACAAAAAAGGCAGCTTTATAGGAGAAAGCTGTTAACTTTGGATGTAAGTCAATGAAACCAGAACCCCCCCCCCTCAGGTTATTTTGGACTGTATTAAGGAGCCCTGGTGGTGATATCCCTTATAAATGAACATAATGCGTGGCCACGACTTAGTGTAGTATATATATGTAATCCATTAATATGTTCCATTTGTATCTTTAAATTCATTTAAAATAAGATCAGTTTAAAGAGGTGAAATTTTAAAAATCCAGATTCACCTGGAAACCAGAGCTGAGTAAAACATTAAGATGACATCAGCATTTCCAGTTAGTCCTGACGTCAGGACATCTCTATTAGCCGTTCAGTCGGTCTGTAGCTAAAGTGACCTTTTTCTTGTTTATTGAAAGTGAACGCTGTGTCCAGAAATGGACTGTGAATTTTATTATGAGTAAAAACTCATTCCTTTATAAGTATTAAACTTACTTTATGAGTATTATTATTTTATTGTCATTTATATTTTGTTCATTTCTGAAAACAATGTGATGAATTCATATAAGCTTACTAACCAAGCTAAGAGATCAACCTTTCCAATTCTTTCTTTCACTTTATGGTTCTTGGAGACATGAAAGGTCACTTATGAAATCTCCAGTATAAAAACCTCAATCAGGGGGTCCCAGGACTGAATTTGGAAACAACTGACCAAATTAATTCACACAGAGTTGTAACTATAACAGTGCTGCCTGGCCTGCTGCACTAACTAACACATCTGAGGATTTTTATTCTTTGTCCAGACCTGTTTGAAGCATCATGGCAGTGCATGGCTGGGCAAACAGTGATCCCCCCTCAGGGTTCCTCATTAGCCCTTCTGTCCCAGTGAAATGAGCCTTGTCCTGATTATCCCATGGAACAAATCTCACCCTGGGAATATTCCACTCACAGAAACGCACTTAACTCTACCGCCTGTGGCTACTGACCGCTCCAAGCAGGAAGATATGAATCACAGTTTGACCCGGCTTAATATTCAACTGCGGCTACTATGGACAGCGAGGCCACTGATTGACTGAAAGTCCCCAACACTTTAAAGACTGACCCCACACTTATAAAATGATAGTTCTGTGAAAAATTAATTTCAAAAAGTACATCAGAATGTAGTCGATCGGCCAAGACATGTTCAGCACCTTAAATTTGCTTCATTTGTTTAGCGCTGGAGCCACAAGGCTGTAGCTAACAAAGGGAAGCTCATAATCACCATAATGTAAACTGTATGTCTAAATCTCAAATTAAGTAATCTCAAACAGATTTAGCCATTTGGCTTCTCACATGCTGTTATCTGATTTTTTTTTAATAAATGATTGTCAAATGTCGGGCTTTGGATGCTACCAGTACTACCATTTTTAGCTAAGCTACATACATTTGTCCACTTTTATAAGTAACAGTGTGTTATGTCACAAAATTCATAAGCAAGTATCTTGCTGTTGTTGGAAGAAAACCTCGGATCTCCAAAATGGTAACTTTACAGGAGAAGGAAAAAACATACTTTACTTATAATGTAAGTCAATGGAACCAGATTTTTTTCCAAGTCGTTTTGGGTCGTTTCTTTTAGTCCATTTATTATGACATTTACACACAATGTAAAGAGCAACAGGTATTTTCAAATTATGTAAAAAACCGAAAAACATCAAAAATGGAGATAAGGTTTTTTTTTCCGACAGCAGCGATATTATGTTTACATTGCCCGTTTAAATCATTGTGTAGGGCACTGATGGATTAAACATAAAAGGTCTTTAAATCCTCAGTGTTTCCAACACATAGGTTATGTTCCCCTTGAAGTATACTGATGGCCACTCAACTATATTTTGATCTATATATATATATATATATATATATATTTATATATATATTTGTAATATCCAATTTTACATTTCATCCCATTTGAACAAAGCCCAACAATAACGTAGTTCTTATTGTTCTCTTTTCACCTTTGGTCACTTTCACAACCTGGACTTTTGCTGTAAAAGAAGCCTTTCCCATTGTGAACATAAGGGTAATTTCCGCTAATGCCGCTCTGGAATTTTCCATGCCATCCAACTGCTTAATCTATGCCTTATTTGAATACCAAATTAAGTAAACTAAACGCTATGAGTTCTGATATCTATACAGCCACAATGTTTCCCCCAGCTTTGTTTCAGAGCTCTTCTGCACTATTACACAAAATATTGTGTTTACTTCCCATGTACTTACATACATTGGCCATTTTATTGGAAACACCTACTATTTACCATGCAGTATAAGTGCAACTGGAAGGTTACAGGCTCAAATCCCAGGACTGACTGTGTACTCTGGGTTGTGCCCTTGGGTAAGGCACTTAACACCCTCTCCCCTGCCACAAGTGGTACTTCTTCGCTGGCGACATTGTGCTGATCCCAGAGTGGGCATAGTTAGGCAGCTAAATAACCAATTAACATAGAAAACAAGATCAACAACATATGACTTAATTAAGATTTATTCCCTTAATGAAATACTGCGCTGATTATTTTTGGTGTTGGATTTATAATCCATTTTACTGTGCAATGCACTAATGAGACTAGACCTGGGAGGTGTAATGCAGAAAACTATACATGCAGGATAAGTTGAACAGGCTGGTGTAGGTTAAGGTGATTGAGATCTTATCACACATAATCATATTTTTGCATTACGATGTAGTGTCACAATGCATCTTCAGTACTTACCTTAATGTTTCAGGTAAGATATTTCACATAATAGCGAGACGTGAATACAGCAAAGGGCCAACAGTCATGGAAACCTAAATTTTGCTTGTGTTTTTTTAAGGTGAAATATTTTGATACAGCATGTAAACTTTAAAGTTTCACTCATCAGTGCACGCAATCAAATATGAAAAAAAAAAACTCCAATAGGGCTAAATAATCACACTTACACCAATCAGGCATAACGTTAACTCCTTGTTTCTACACTCATTGTCCATTTTATCAGCTCCACTTACTATATAGGTGCACTTTGTAGTTCTAGAGTTACAGACTGTAGTCCATCTGTTTCTCTGCATACTTTGTTAGCCCCCTTTTACCCTGTTCTTCAGTGGTCAGGACCCCCATGGACCCTCACAGAGCAGGTACTATTTGGGTGGTGGATCAGTAACACTGCAGTGCTGAGAATGATCCACTGCAGTAACACTGACGTGGTGGTGGTGTGTTAGTGTGTGTTGTGCTGGTATGAGTGGATCAGACACAGCAGTGCTGCTGGAGTTTTTAAACACTGTCCACTCTCTTAGACACTCCTACCTTGTCAGTCCACCTTGTAGATGTAAAGTCGGAGACGATAGCTCATCTGCTGCTGTACGGTTTGTGTTGGTCATCCCCTAGTCCTTCATCAGTGGTCACAGGACGCTGCCCACAGGAACCTGTTGGCTGGATATTTTTGGTTGGTGGATCATTCTCAGTCCAGCAGTGACACTGAGCTGTTTAAAAACTCCAGCAGCACTGCTGTGTCTAATCCACTCATACCAGCACAACACACACTAACACACCATCACCACGTCAGTGTTACTGCAGTGCTGAGAATGATCCACCACCCAAACAGTACCTGCTCTGTGAGGGTCCATGGAGGTCCTGACCACTGAAGAACAGGGTAAAAGGGGGCTAACAAAGTATGCAGAGAAACAGATGGACTACAGTCTGTAACTGTAGAACTACAAAGTGCTCCTATATAGTAAGTGGAGCTGATTTGTCATCTTTTTTTTTAAACAGAATATGAAAAGGCCCTTTACAACATGTTAAAATTTTGTGATGAGTAGACCAAAAGAAAAGCCCCTAAACGAGTTGGAAAGCGGTTGTTCTATTAACTTCCACTCAGAATTAGATATACCAAGTGTTTCAGTCAGGACTGCTTTTTGAATGAGACACAACGCTTAATTCTAAGGGATACAGGCTGAAAATGATAATTTAACAATGAATGAACAAATGAATTAGGTTTTGGCACATAAACCCACATAAATGACAAAAGTGGCTTTCAGGAGAAAGATGGAGGAAATGGGCTCTTAAATTATTTTAAATCATTACTTACATTTTGTTCTAAAACATACAATTCCCCTAGCCTAAATGTGCTCATGAATATTACTAAAATCCATAGATGCTCTTATGTTGCGAATTCACTTTTTGCCACAAGGTGGCAGCAAAGGCCACATCATATCCGCATTTAGTCTTACACTGTCCAAAGAAACACAAAGAGCATCCTTAGACAGCCGACAACAGTCCAAAGCTTTTAGGAAACTGGGTGCAAGGTGATCCAGAGTGAAGCTTCAGACGCCCATCTTAGATGACCACAACATTAATAAATAACAACAGAAATGTGTCTCCTGGAAGAAAAGAATTTGCAATGCACAAAATGTAATTAATGTAATTTTATTAGAATTAACATTTTTCATGGGAAAATTCTTCTTAAAAGGTTGAATAATAATAACTACAATAAATTAAATTCCATGCAGTAATTCATTATTTCAAAAGAGCATTATCATATTATTATTATTATTATTATTAGCCTGCCCTTTACAATTGGTCTGAGCTGAAAATCCATCTGTAATGAGCAAAAATATACAGTACTGTGCAAAAGTCAGCACACATTCATTTGCTAAAAAAAAAAAATAATAATAAAGATTAGAATAGATACAATAAACTGATTGTGCGCGCGCAGGTGTGCTACCTTAACCATTTCCAAAGCTATTAATCCTTCATTAAATTTAATCAGGTGCTGCTGAAGGAATTGAACAAATCCACACAGTGACTGGAGAGCAGCGAGAAGTCAGGAACCAAACCTGTGTTCTAACAAACAATAATAACTTAAAACAAAATAAAACATTGCCACATTTTACTGTATTTACATGTATTTACATATCATTATTCTAATGATATGCAAGGTTTTCATTGAAAAAAAAGCCACCACACAACCACACTTACTGCCAAAGTTCCCTTTTCTTGTGCACTCAAGTGTTTTGCACTGCACTGCATGTACATCTGCCAAAAATGAAATAATGATATTGTATACACACACACACACACACACACACACACACACACACACACACACGTGCATATTTAACTACCCATCAAAATGATCGTTACATTTCTGAAGACATTAGATAGAAGATAACGTGCTTGCATAAAGAAGGAGAAAGTCAAAAGAAAATAAGTGGGGAAAAAAACAAGACTTTCCAAAACTAGAGTTTATAAATCCATCCATACGTCCACTACAAGGACAACTCAGTGCTGTGGATGTGAATGTGCTGTCAAGAAACCCTCACCGAGAAAAGGGAATAAAAAAGGCAAAATCAGACAAAGAAGCTGATGTTCTCAGAACAATGGACTGACCACCCCAGAGTCCAGACCTCAGCATCACTGAGTGTGTTTGGGATTACTTGCATCATAAGAATCAGAAAATGCAAAACCTACCTGTAAGACTGAACTTTGGACATGTGGAGAAATCTGTGCAACCTTTTACAGTGGACACACTAAATACTGAAAAATGTGATATTCCACTTAGTTATACATGTTTTTGCTAACTTCATTTATTATGTCCTTAATGGCCATTTTGACTGGAAATTGGTTACCCAAAAGGTGGTCTTTGATCTCTGCACAGTACTGTATATATGACAAAATGCACACTGCCACCTAGTGGCCTGCAGGCTGTATTATTTGAATTTAGTCCAGAAGCTCAGAAATAAATAAGGACCAACATTACACAAAGCTGCCATAACTTGCTTCTACTAAAGCCTGAAAATTAAACAGAAGTTATGCCTGTAAGGAGGACCATTTCACTTTCAGTCTAGTGCATCTGGACAAGTTCAACCATCATGACTTTCATACACAACTCACCTATAACAGCGAAAGCACTGATGTGCTACAGTGAACAACAGCTCCAGCATACAGCTCCGAATAAATAACTCACACTAATTCAGTTAACATGTCTGTAGGGTGGAGGCATTCCAGTGTATTTCATACATGCTTCTGTTTAAAACCGGTGCCCCTTAAAAACAGTGCCCCTTTAATTAACTGGTCTGTCTTTCAAAAGAATCAAGTGCCTAAGAAGGAGTAGTGTGAATAACACCAGGGTGAGTTCAACTGAAGGCCCTCTGTGGGGGGCAGAGGTTGACCTTTCTGAGCTCAATGCAAATCTTGGGTCCAAGCCCGAAATGCTGGGCTCCAACTGTTCCTATAGTTCTTGAAACAAGTCGGTCGCTGGTTAATCCAACCGCAGTGTCAGGTTTGAAGCACCTAAGGGTGGATCCTCAACAAAAGCCTGATCATGATGGATTAGAGGGGCTCAGTGTCAAAACCAAGTCACACAAAGCTTTGGGGTCATTACTCAGCACCCTTTAGCAAATGACTGTGTGGGATGATCGTGGAGATATTAGTCACCCAAACAAAGCATACTGCAAACATTCCAGTCCCTACCCTCTTATGAATCATCTACATCTGATACAATGGAGAACCGAAATGCCAGATCCCGTTTCGCACCATAATTTCAGATATGAGCGTAAAAACTGCAGGTATGTTAATCAGTTCAATGACAAGATATGCTTTAGGATGGTATTCATGCTGTTTGGATGGGCAAAAGGTCAAATCTCTAGCAGACAGTGAGATATAGGGGTCCAAAAACCATACAAACTGAGGCTTCTACTAAACTTTTAGCACACAGGAGCAATATTGACCAATATAAATGTTAGTATGCTGTTGATTCTGGTACATATGCCTTTAATGTTAATAAGCTGATTGATTAATAGCAATGAAGATAACTATTTGTAGTTACTATATTTATCCATACTCTGCTACCTTTGTGCCTTTCAGACTTCTTGTACCAGCGTGATGAGCTGTGTCCAGATTCAGCCTAGAAAACTCTAGCTGGATGTGCTGGTGGCTCAGAAAGGAGTGACGCTTAACAAATGACCCACAGTTACGGTAACTGGTTAAACTGGGATGTTGATTGGTCAACGTAAAAAATGCAACTCTGAATTTGACACATTTAGTGAGCGCATTTTCAGTTCTCTTTTTTGGGGACATTTATTCCTAAGATTTTACCACTTAGGGTCAATTTCAACATCATTTCAGGTGGCCCAATGATAAACGAGGGCATGCCAAGGCCTGCTGGTCCTCATCATAGCGCTGCCAGTGTCCGTTTGTACTTTTTCATAAATATCGTCACAGTGCTTGGTGATGTTTGGTTGTTCTTATGACTGAGTTTTGTAATGTGCCTCAGTTTTGTTAAAGTAAACCACTGTAGAAGTCCCATTCGCTGAAAGCTGATTCTAGACCAATTTCTGAAGAGTGGACTGACTCAGTATTGATGACGGAGATGCTACTTAAAGGAGGCATGGACCGTCCTGCCCTTCAGCGGCTGCGGCGGCCGGAAGTTGTTCTCCATCCGTTTCCGATCATCTTCTTCCTCTCCACTAAAGAGAAGCATCCTGAACTTTCCCATCTACAGTCAGGAGGAAAAACCCAGAGAAGAAGAAAGTGTCAGAAGGCAAGGACCCCTCCAAAAAAACTGCCCTCTTCTGGAAGCATTAGGTAGTATCACACTCTAAGGTGATGCAGGTGAACCGATACTAATGTATAATAAGTGCTGCCAGTATTGACTGTATTAGTAATTAAGATTACTTTAAACGAGAAGTCCAGTCTTTTAAAAAAGCCCAAATAACAAAAATGGGCTTAACTGAGCATCAATAAGCCAACCTTTAAAAAGTCTTCATTAAAAATGTGTGAGATATATATATATTTATATATATTATAATATATATATATAATATATAATATAATATATATATATATACACATACACACACACACACACACACACACACACACACACATATATTTTTGTATGTAAATTTCATGATGAATGGACTAAAAGAAAATGACCCAAAATGACTTGTAAAAAAGTCTGGTTCCATTGACTTGCATTAAAAATAAAGTAGGTTTTTTCTTTCTCCTGCAAAGATACCATTTTGGAGATACAAGGTTTTCTTCCAACAGCGATATATATGATTATGTCTGGTCTAAAGTCAGTTTGCCAATGGAAAAAAGCACTTTAGTTGCCTTGTTTAGCTAAATGGTAAGACGACGCATGCCATGCTGCAGCAGCTGGCCATAGGAGACAAGCACAGTAACATACCACTCCTAATACTCTTACATAACACAGGTCTTTACTGCTTGCTGGGTATCTCTAAAGGTTTTCAAAAGTATGAGAGCAAAGTCAATGCACATCAATCATGTTAATCTGTGTAGGTTAAAGGATTTGGGAAGCAGTCTGGACACACAGGGCCCAGGGGACAGGGAATTATGCTACACCCACGCTGCACCCATGGAGTCTATACTGCAAGCATGTGTAACAGAAATGGGACACATCAACAGAGGTAGAGGAACACAGTCCAGTTCTTCTCAAACTGCAAGCCAATGCAAGGGTCTAACAAAACTGGAAAGCAGACTTGCAAACTTTACTGGAGAAGAAAAAACAATCCTTAACTTTCTGTATGTTACTTTTACAATATTGTATTCCATGTATTTTTTTTTAAATATTTACTCAAAGTACTGGACAACTGGTACTTTCAAGTGATGTATTTTAAAAAAATAAAACAAAAAATCCTCTCTCCCCCCAAAAAATACAAGTTTTTAATATGATAGCAATCGCAATATTTTTACCATTTTATATTCCAAATGATCGACTGTTTTTAAAAAGAACTTCTTAAGCCACTCCCAAAAACTGCCAAATCTACATATGTAGACATATGAATAGCCTCATGTTCCTTACAAACTGCATGAAGTGGCCTGAGCAGAGGTTAAAGTATTTACCACAGCTGGCCGTCCACACTAATGAATTCATCACATAAAAAAGCTAAGGTTAACACAGCTACGTCAGAGACCACCCCTCATTTATTTAACTTACAGTCAAACAGCCATCACGTACAAGTTAATAATTTTTCATAAATAAAAAGCATCATATGGACACACCACCCACTGAAATTTGATATATTTAGGTGTTGAGGCTTCGGTGTAATTTTATGCTAAATATGTTTTCTGCATTTTTCCTGATGCTGGAAAATGAATATGTATTTAACGGCCGTTTTGACTGGAAATTAAGTCAAAGAAACGTTTACAATGACTTTTGCACAATATTATATACACTAAGAAAGAAGTACAGATAAACTTTAAGATTTTTCTGTCGGGCAAGAAAAAAAAATATTCTAAAAGATATATAAAAGATAAAAACTCAGCTGAAGATAAAGCATAAATGCTAGCGGTGGCAAAAATCACCTCTCATATCTCATTTACAAAACTGTAATTTTGAGGTCAGCCAAGACACTGTGGAGCTACCATAAGAGCCCTGAAAGTATCTTACATGCTGTAAACAGAAGAGAAGGCTCATGGGAAAATTGACTATTGGCAGTAAATTAGGGGGGGAACCAAAAGACAGCTCAAATATTCGCACTGGGACTACTCTTACATCAGTTATGCCAGATACCAACAAAAAATTTATAACAGGTTTTTTGTCTCAAACATAGTAGAAATGATGAATTCTTAGTGTTGGAATGCTTGTATATATTGTTTTGTTTGTCCACAAGACCCTATGTGGTTTTATATGCTTTGCAAGATTTGTTTTATGCTTTATGTTTTAAAGCCAGGGGAAGTCAAAGCCAAAGCTGTGCATCTAACTCTCAAGAGGCTCTCTAATTTATGGTCAAACAATAGCAGTGACCCATCAACAGCAGGAACATCTTACTAAGAGTCTAACGTGTGAATCTGCACCCATTATTTATTCTCCTACTCAGCACAAGACACTGGAAATTTCCATTAACTAGCAAAACATCAACAAAAGACAGTCCCGGAGACAGGACTGGAACTCAACCTTGACATTTGCGTCAAACTGTGTCCTGGAAGGCGGGGCCCTGACAATGGGACCATGCACCAAACAGATCTGGGACAGAGGCCTACAAAATTTGTTATTTTCCACTCTTCTGCCAGTTACATGACTAAATATAGACCTGGGGTGAGGGCAGTGTTTTCAGTGTTGCATCTCACACTGGGAAAAACATTCGTTTTTTTCTGAATGAAGTGTGAGTGTTTACATAACTCTCCTTGCTTTTTTTTTCTTCTATGCACCATGTCACATGTCAGACACCAGAATTGGACGATATGACTAAGATATTGTTATCACAATCTATTCATCACAAAATGTTTTTGTGAGTATACTGTGAGTCTCAACAGCTGCAAGTTGGCTCCCAATAAGCACAGCTGTCTCGATTTCGTTCTACTGCTGGGAGATCACACGCTTGAATCCGGACAATACTGGGAATCCAGGAGAATAACTGGCCCAGCTCAACTGGATGCACGTTTAATTGGATTTAGTGATGTACAGTCCTTAAAATAAATAATTAAAAAAACAAATCTCAATCAATAACAGAACGACCACTTGTCAGTGTCCTTCAGTTCAGGGCATAGATGTCAAAACAGTCAAAAACAACACAAATACCAATTTCTGCTAACGCCCCTATGGGATTCTGGAGTATGTTAGCACTAAGCTAACAGCAATCACATGAATATTTTTGCCCGTTTCAGATCACACACAGACAATTGAAGCTTTAAAAATAAATAAATAAATAAATAAAAAAACCACATCAACATAGTTTACTTTGTATGTAGCAGTATCTCTTTCATTAAAGAGCCCTGACATACAGCTAGTGCTGCTGTTTTCCTTTTCCAACATCTGTTTGACAGTGGTAGCTTGACCGATGCATTTCAGTGATGTATTAGGACTTCCAGGAGGCCAAGACTGATGTCCTTTTCCCCCTCACAGTAAATTAAAATGTGACTGGTTGATTCCACTGTCAATTCCTAATTAAGCTAAGTGGTTAATCTGATGCATTGCACCTTTAGCCCATCTCTTGAAGTCCTAACCAATGGGAGAGCTCACTTAGCTGTACAGATACTATGGAGAAGGAAAATTCTGACTGGTTGATGGGCACCATCCACACAACCAGAATGGAATATTACAAGGACAGAGGTGAAGACCTTTAATAGTCATAGTGAATGTGAAACGTGACTCCTCTGAGAGAGGCTGCGTGTCAAATGCAAACGCATGATGACAAGAAACAACAAAGAAGAAAGTTTATATACACAAGGAAGAGCATATGACTTCCACTGCGGTGTCTGTTACAGTACTACAAAGATTCTTTTCAACAGATTAACCCATTAATGCCTGTTAACTACGGCAAAATGTAGCTTTTAACGTGACATTTTTTAACATACAACATCTGCAGGTGTGTAGACTCAACCCACCTGTTTCTCTGAGACTACAATAGGTTCAGCCAGAACAATCCATGTGACACTTTCATACAGCGGAGGAGTGGTCAGTGAGCCAGGATAGGTCCAGTAGTTCAAATTACGAGGCAGCAGGCATTTAGGGTTAAAATCTCTGAAATCAGCAACGGTTCCCTTGAAATAAAAGACAATGTCAAGGTCTGATTCTATACAGCCACACTAATTACACCAATCTTCTGCTTGAGTTTTATAAAGCTTCATACTAAAAATAAAGAGAAATCAAAAAGTATACCTTGAATTTAACCATGTACAAGGCATCTGTTATCTTATGCAGACCTCTGTGTTCATCTCCTATCTGTAAATGACCACAACACAATATAATTATCACCAATTCATTGAATGAATGAATAAAAAGTGTGAATGAATAAAAAGTATGTGATTAACTCACTTATTAAAAAAAGTTATTTACAAAAATATAAAGAGGCAAGCAATAAATCAGATCTTCACCTCCATATCGAAGGAGAGCAAACATTATTATGTTCATTATTAAGGTGATGAAAGGGAAGTGATGGGCTCTAACCTCCAGAAAGATGCCAAGCACAGCCAAACCATCAGGGGCAGCCACGGCTTCTCCAAATGAACTATATCGGGCAGAATTCCAATGAACCAGATGTAGCTGGAGAAACAGAGGAAGATGGTTTAAAACAGTGGCCATAGTTCTGCTCTTAAAAAGTGGCCAAGTTCTACTCTTAAAAAGGGTGGGCAACTTGGCGAAATAATAATCACGATATCTTGAAACATTTCATGGTATACAGCATCTCAATATTTAGATCAGGGGTCTAAAACTACTAGTCAGCTTCATATATTTACTTTTTTTTTTCTGCACCAGACACTGAGCCTGTTTACCTAAGCTACATGAAGTCAGCTGCAGCTGATGCTTATATTGTTAAAAGCAAAGACAGAGTGCTGTGTGCAAAAGAAACATTCAAATAAAAACCTGACAGCATAAATGCTGCACTGAGCAGGCATGACTTATTTAGGCATAACTAATTAAGCTATTATTCTTAGATAGCTAAATCAGCCTTTGTGGATTCAATCAGGACAAAGAAGTAGATACAGCGTGTCAGAACTAAGAAATTAACTGAATTATCAAACAAACCCACTGAGATTGCAGGTTTAACCACTATCACCACTGACTTGTATTCAGCAGGAACACCTATGCTATCACAATAAGAGTCTCATGTAATTCTGTTTTTAAAATGTGCATTTCTGGGATTTAATTGTTGACCAAAATATTTATCAAAAATACATATATGTATTTATACCAACAACAACAACTATTATTCGTAGTAGTAGTAGTAGTAATGGTTACAGAAAAATGCCTAATAAATATTGACCACATGACCACTATGCACTTAAATGGGTGAATTTTTTATGTAATCAAAATTAAAAATTAGAAATAAAATAATTTAAAAAAATGATGATGTGTAACAGATCACCATTATGGCCATAAAGCCATCCAAACTGCAGTTATTATGCACTTCTCTCACCTCAGATGTGTAGGTTTTCCCACTGACAGTGTGTTCAGAGCCATGGCAGCCCTTCCCTCCCCAGTGGAAATGGAACTGTTTGAGTCGATATGCGCTGTCCAAGGGGCCTCCCTGCATCACTGTCACGGGAGAAGAGAGGATTGGATTCACTGAGCTCAGTGGCTGAGACTATAGCGCTCCTTCACATCTTATCTACAACGTACTGTTAACCTGAAAGGTAAGCTGGTGTCATTTCAGTTACAATCACCCTGTTCCCTCTCCAAGACGCTGATACCCGGTACAGCTCCATGTGTCCACAAGAGAGTCTTTGTGCTTCAGGGCTGCATAATATATTGCTTGTTAATTGTTACTGTGATAGCTATAGCTGTATTGCAGAAAATGTATTTTACTTTTACTGTGTGTGGTGAGTATCCTGACTAAGCGCAGACCCAGGTGAGTTTTTCTCAGTGTTTATATGAAAGTATTCAGGTTATTTAGGGGTGCACAAGCGGAATCGGCCAAGATTGAAACCAGTTTTTGCTCCAAACAAGGAATCAGCAATCATTCAATATCATTTTGATTTTAAGTGGTCTGTCACAACTGTATGATCTCAATAACATGAAGGTAAGTACATTGTATTTCAATGCTGCTGCTACACCTGTCACCAGGTTTGTTGCATAATTATGCATGACTCATTGTACTCAACAGCCAGTTCTCTCTTGCTTTCGATGTACCACTTTATTTGATTTCATGTTATTTAAACAGGCAATAAATTGCCAGTTTGGCCTATATAAGAGCAAATCATTTTATTTATCTTGCAACTGTGGCTGATAAAGTATTGCAGATGCACTAGTCTGTTGAATAGCCCCCTTAGCTCACACAGGGTGAGCTTTGGGTTTAAAAAAAAACCCTTTGCCTCTTTGCAGTCCAGTCTCTAATAGGTCACAGTATTGATTTACATTGTATTTTTAATATATCGCAATGACCATACCTAGGAATATGATCACAATAGTAGTAGTTTGTGCATATTGTGCAGCTTTGATGAGCAGAACAATGTGCCCCAGACCAACTCTTCATCTAAGTAGTAGTTTTTGCATGCACAATGATAAGACACCCGAAGGCAGCATGCGACAATTTGTCATCCCAGCCACTGACACCCAGACCAGTCAAGCAGCAAGTAATAAATTATGTCTAATACCACTGGAGCCAAGCTTTGTCTCCACTAACAGGAGAACAGGAGCAGAGAGAGAGAGAGAGAGAGAGAGAGAGAGAGAGAGAGAGAGAGAGAGAGAGAGAGAGAGAGAGAGAGAGAGAGAGAGAGAGAGAGAGAGTTCTCCCCTTATTGCTGTTTGTTACATAGCCAGAATTATAACTTTGCTTGAAATACTGACACATGCAAAAAACAGTGCAATAATTACACTAGAGACATGTGGTCAGACACAGGCAGAAGTGAAATTACACTGTGTCAGCCAAAATCACGATGTGGAGGTGGCATTGTGGTAATTCTATAAGACATCTACTGTTTTAGACTAACTCACTTCTTCAAACCAGACCTGCATTCAAATCTTGTATCAGCAACTAGTACAACAACAGGGCTGGACACTTGACTGGCCCTTAATCAGAATGAAAATCTGTTGGCAAGAGAAAAGCTTTAACAGTGTTCTTGCCTTTCAGCTACAGGGATCATTTAGTCCACTCATGGAGCATGCACTGAATCCAAATGACTGCCTAAGTCAGAGAGAACAGCTATAAACCGTGTTATTTGGTGCGCAGTGGTTTCTTCCAAGACGACCAACATGAATGAGAACACAATACATCAAAGGGCCCAGGACATAGTTAAATACTAAGACAGTTTACAGGGGCATTCAGCCTGAAACTAGAGTTTTACATGTTTTGGTTATGTTAAATAAAATTCTGTAGCTCAGCATTATGTCTCCCAGTCTCATTTTATCAGTTTCACACTTTTTTTCACTACAATACCCAGAATGCATCATGTAAATATGAACAGAATACATTGGGAATCCCTGTGGTGTCAACCAATGCAGACTGGTAGCCTAGCCACTGCCCTATAGGCTAATAAATACAACCAAGTTAACTAAAGTACAACTCCTACCTCAAAAACATCCGAAAGAATAAGGTATTATGAATACATTCAGATTTACTGAGCACAATAATCAATGCCAGAGACAAGTTCTTACTTTTTCAGCCTGAGAAATGTAGCCAAACCAAGGTCATTAGCTATCTTGTTAACTTCAGCTGTTAGCTTGTTGTCCTCATCTGACGAGTCATTTGAGTAACCCATTCTCTCCACCCAGAAAAATAAATGAAGTTTTTCAAATGCTCGCTCCTCCCACCTTAGAAGATACATCAGAAGGGGGTTTTCCTAGTCTTTAAACCTCAAAATCTCACTCTAGAAGCTACACTGCAAAAATATTTTGTCAAGTCAGAACATTTTTAATCGTCATTACATATCTAATATTTCTCATTTTAGGATTGTTATAAGAATATGAGATTATTCAGCCCATTTCTAGGTGGATTTTACTTTTTGACATTTAATCTTGGGAAAGTGTCTTAGTCTATTGGTAGATAATTTTGCTTGTTTCAAGAAATAATGTTTAGCCTGAGTGAGCTAATGCTGTCATTTTTTTCTCCTTTAATACTTTATATGCTATGTATAGTGTGCTGACTGCGTTAACTAAAATACTGATTCTAAATACAGATTCTAAAATAAAGAAATGCTTAAAAACTAACAAATCTGGCAACCTCTCAGATAAAATTACAAAATATGTACAAATGTATAAAAACAAAATCTTAATATTCTTTAAGTAATCTCATAGTTAAATATATTAGATTTATTAGCTACATTTAGGAAGATTTCACTTGCCAAGATATTCTTTTGCAGTGTACTGCAATAGGACGCGAGAAAGCATGTTAAATGTAGATGTAGTGATGGTTAACTTTTCAATTAATTAATTTTTCGAGTGTCTACTTAACTAAGGAAATTGTACCTTACACAATCTAGCACACAGTGCATAGCGTAAGAATTACTCTCCTCACTATGTAATCGTAATGTAGAAGCTAAAATAAAAAAAACACTGACTTGAAAACCTCAGAGAAGCTCCCTCTAAAGCAACAGAACTGCGTTTGCCTATAGTAAAAGTAAACCAAACTACTGTAACCATTCTTTCCTGTGTTTGCTTATATGAAAAGGAGTTCCAGGCCTACTGTAAAAACAGTCACAAAGTGAACACCAATTGTCATTCATTCAACCAGTAATTTCCCTGGAGTTCCTGAGAGCCAGTGTCTGTGGTGAGCTACGAGATGTGATCTTCACGGCTATTAAAACCATCTCGTCTTAGCTCAGGGCTAAAAATAACCAGCTTTCCTGCCCTCAGAGCAGGGGGAATCCTCTGGCTCTGCTCAACCTACTATTACATGCTGTGATGTTTCCTAAAGAGAACACAAGACTTCATCCCGCTGTCCAACACCAACCTGATCTGTCATCTGCATCGTCAAACTCCACCACCACAGAATGGCCGTTGTTGGATATGTTGATGGAGGTGCAGTTGTCATAGTTGAGTGTGATGGCCGGCAGGTTGCTGTCGTAAACCGCCTCTTCAGGAACGATGTTAATGGGGGACTGGCGGGGGCCCTCAGCGATGGGATAGTCTTTGTGCCACGCAGACGGACCTGCAAAGACATTTGAGGAATGTTTTTTTTTTTTTGGCAAACTGTGTCAGTTGCCACAGCGGCAGGCAGGTACATCATGAAATTGTACCGGACAATTAATTGCCATACAAATAATTGCAATTAATAATGTCTTATTTGTTCATTGTAGCTATTATAGTACATACATAAAGCAGCCAAATTGTCTGATCAGCTGTCTCGCTTCCTAGCTGTCAAATCTTAGTAGCTCCCAACTGATGACAAACAGCTCGAGCTCAAATAAACAATACTCACTGCTGCCCTCTAAAGGTGTTAACAGACGTCAAATAAACAAACAGTGCTCTAAAGGTGTTATAGCACCAGTCAGAAGTTGGAAATTTTATTATTTTCATAAGACCCATAATCAATCTCAGTAAATGTGTTTTCTGCTTCCTTTATTTGCATGTATTTGCCTCAACCCCACTGATGAACACACTCAATTCACATTGTTGTGGTGTAAACATCTGTCGGTAAAAGCTAACTATGGAAACTATTTGAAATCAGCTCAAATAATGTGATTAGGTGATCATGTAATTGTGACAGGTACAGTGGCAGGGCAGAATATAAGTGGTATATTCCCCACTATACTGTCAGTTAAAGCAACACTGTAGCATTACTGAGTACAGAGAAAAAAAACGCACTAAAATATGGTGTGCATGTGTCACTGCAAGTCACCCTGTAAGCCTGAAATAATCATTACAAGTCAGAGGTACCGACCCGGATTTGGTGGGAGTTTTTCGAACCAGGTCTTTATGCCTTAACATCACACACACAGATTAAAAAAAGGTCTTACTCAATGTTTAGGTCTCAAATGCAAAATTCAATGCTATACTGATTAAAATATGACAAAAGTAGATAATTCACTCGTATCCTCAGAATACACATCCTTCACCAAGTTTTGACTGGGTTCTCCTCGAATATTCTTTCGACACACTCACAAAAGTCTCACTCATCCGCTTGTGGGGGTCTGAAGAACAACCGATGTTACAAAATGTTCATGCAATACATATTTCAACCAGAGAGGTCTCTAAATCCCCAAATTCTACATAGTGTTGCTTTAATGCTTTTAACCATTTAATGTAATACTGAAGTACATGCTTGCTTTCTGCAATGAATTAAACCAACAATGCACTGATATAATGGTTCGGTAATGGTACTGATAACCTTATTAAGTGGACTGTTTATGGGTCAGATGTGACTGATCCACATTTGATCTAATTTTAAGGTTTATCTTAAACTTAAATGTAAATTTTACCAACCTTTTAGAACAATGACATAAAAAATGGTGCAATAAAAATTAACACTAACTTCACTGGATATAATATTTTGATTCAGCACAATTTTGAAACAGAGTTTCTGAACATGTGGCTTGTGTTAACGTGTTAATGCATGTGGCATGCTCACAGCTTACATGCACGCATGCTAGGGATGCACATATTTGCAGACTCAATATGATTTCAAATTCATTTTTTGATATTTTGTCTCTTAAAATTGTCTTTGCATTTTAAAGCTCAAAATCTAAACTACATAGATAGCTCTCAAACAGAACTTAAAAGCCCAGTCACTAGATGCCTGCATAATACCATAAGGCAGGGGTGCCCAGTAACGGAGATCTACAATCCTGGACACTTCAGATCCAACTTACCTGGTTCTAATGTTCAGATGCCCCTGACGACCTTCATTATCTAGGACAGGTGTGTTACATTAGACTTGGAGCTAAACTCTGCTAGGTGGCAGATCTCCAGGACCACGATTGGGTACCAATGATATAACACCTTCTCCCTCCCTGCCTACTTTACTTAGATACGACTCACCAAGATGCCACTGTTTGAAATTAATACAAATTTGACTGGTCAGTCTGAATACTTACACCCTTACTAAAATAAATTGTACCTTTGTATCTAGTTTATATTTAGGTACTTTTGTCCCTACTGACATCATTTTGGTACTTGATACAGACCAATGCCCCGAGTTTATGTATCGGAATCTGTATCAGGATCAGTGCATCCCTAAATTAAACAGTTTTTTCCAATCCTGGTCCTCGAGCGCACCTGCACTGCACATTTTATCCCACCCAAACCCCAACACACCTGACTCACCTTAACAGCTAATTTAAAAAGTCCTTCCTGAAGTTCAAGCAGGCATGCTGGAGCAGGGATTTGGAAATACTGGCCAAACACTTCCAATGAATCTGGCACCAGTGCAGCTTACTTGCTACTACTATGACAGCCTCGCCTGACCACTGCCTTCCCAGCCTCAACCTGGCTCAATACCTTACTAAGTCAAAGACAAACACTCTTCAGGCTGCTGTTATTCCTGTAAGGGCTCTCTAATCTCTCATTAGCCCAGGAGCCGTTTCCCATTAATGAGTACTCAGAGCTAATCGAGCGGGCTGGGTTTGGCAAATGAATGGGCAGAACTGGACCACTCAGGCTGAACTCCTTCACAGTGACTCTTAACAGAGCAGCTGCGGGGTAAGCGCAGGTCACATGGATGGATACACGAGCCTGAACGAGGATGAGGCTAAACTCCAGGGCTGCTTACCATCGTCCTCCCCGTAACCCCACTGATGGCCGGTCATCGTGCTGAAAAGGTGCAGGACGGCAAAACGAAGGTGCAGATGGACGGAGAGGACAGATCCCGCTGCAGCGGCTGAAAGTGAAGACCAGCTCGCACAGGTGGAGGAATTTCTAAGGCAGTGTGGTTCACTGGCAGCAGTGGGAGGTGAGCCCGTGTAGCCACGCCCCCGTCAAAGCTGATTGAAGCAGAAGAGGCTGGATTAGACGTTAATTCCTGTTTACGAAACACCTCTCTATTGGCTCCCTTTGGGATTAGGGCGGGGCTACAGCGTCCCGGCTCTTCCATTTGTCTCTAGAGAGTTGGTCACCGTCCCTGCTCCTGGACACATACCTTCCTGCAGACTTCAGCTCCAACCCTAATAGACCCCACCTGATCAGTCTAATTAATGCCTTCAGATGCCCCCTTCATTAGCCAGGAAAGAAGATCTCCAGTGGGAGGGGTGGTGACCACTGCTCTAGACTGCAGAACGCTTCGTTTTGATAGCAAATATGAGTAAAATGAGCGTCTTATTCGTGGTGTATTAAGATTTTATAAAGCTCAATGTGAGTCTTATAACATCTGACAATATGCAGCATAAAAAATTATAAATTAAAAAAAAGTGTGAATGGATGTTCAAAAAAGGTGACTTTAACATGGTGTACACTCTTAGCAAAAAGGGTTCTATATAGTACCAAAACAGGGTTCTTGCAACAATAGTGGAACCCTTTTTGGTGCTATATAGAACCCTTTTTAAAAAGGCTCTGTATAGAACCATCTACAGCACATTCTCCATCAATCTGAAAGACCCTTTCACCATACAAATAACCCTTAAATCAAGTAAAGGGTTGTTTGCGTGAACCATTTTGTTGACTAAAGAACCCTTGAACCATCTTTTTTAAGAGTGTAGCCTTAAAAAAACTGGGTTTAAGAAAACGTTTTTACATTGATTTTGCAACAGCACACTTCTGATGTCTGGTACATTTCATACAAACAATGCAAATCTCTCAAATATAGATGGAATTGAAGTATTGATAATAGACATATTCTTTCCTTCTTTTTTTGGAAAGGGGACCACCTTGCATCCCTATAGAACTATACAATTCCCACAAACTAGAAAATATTTTTTTTCTTCTGTTTCCGGCAGTAGTTTGTCAAAGTCTTGCCTTAGTATGTAGCAGCAGTGGCTTCTTTTCTCTAAATGTTAACTTACTATATCAGAATAATTACTCATTGTCTCAAAATAGTCAAAATAATGACTTACTATCTCACAATAATGACTTACTATTATAAAACTTGACATTTAATGTCATTATTTCCATAAAGTCTGAAAATCTTAAGAGAATAAGTGTGTTTTAAGATAATACGACAGTGCTTTGTGACAAAAGGCATAATTTTGAGTTATTAAGTCCATGTTTTGAGATATTAAGTCAAATTGAGAAAATAAGCCATTACTTCCATTTCCAACATACCGCTGCCAGAAACAGAGAAATCAAAATTTGTCTCCTCTACCTGGCGAGAATGGGCCTCCACACATCCAGGCCTGGCTATAATATACTGTTACTTTGCTGTAATGTTATTCTCATATAACTGGTCCACAACATCACAATGTCTCACAGAAACGCTGTGTTCAGACCGCATCCAGCTTACATTGATGTTAATACTGTATTATGTGACCCTGAGTTTCTCAGGGTGTAAATCAGGCCGCAGTGTTTGCCCACAGGTCTCAGATTTTATGGATCACTCTATCTTTTTTCACAAAGGGTGACAGTCACTTCCCCAAAACGACAATTCATTTGACCACTCATTCACTGTTATTTCAACTCAGTGGAGCCCAGCTGTGGTCCTAGAGGGTCCAGACCATTTTGATTATTTCTAACTAAACCTGGGAACAAACTGATGAAATGAATCCCAATCACCAATCTGTATTGGTCTACAGGCCTCTAAGAACACTGGCTAATTTGCTTTTATCCTTAACATGACTTTAAACTGTGTTTTAACCCAAATCACTTGAAAGTGACTGAACTCCAACTTTATATATACGTCACAATGTATATCGTTGTTGTTGGAAGAAAACCTCGAAAACCAAAATGACTTAGGAAAAAAGTCTGGTTCCATTCTGGTTCCATTGACGTACATTAAAAGTAAAATATGTTTTTTCTTCTGTAAAGTTACCATTTTGGAGATTTTTGAGTTTTGTTCCGACAGCAGCGATATGTTACTCACACATACACATTAGTTTGCCTCTGGATACAGGTGCTCTCTCTTGTGCAATGACCTCTAAATCAGTACAAAATTAGAAACCCTTAGTCACTGTCACTGATCCTTTCCACCTGACCACTGAATTCTAGAGAAAATGGTAAGGAACCCAGTCATAAATTATCCATGCTTGTAACTCTAGTATACACAAACTGAAAAAGAGTGCAAAGAGCCGGCAGTTACAGCTTTGTGACCATTCAATTCCCAGGTGTAAATCTTTTGTGAAAGGGAAAACAGGAACCTACAGTTTACATAGGATAGAAAAGGCTTGTGTAGGCCTAGGATTTACAAGGGGTTCAGGAAATTGTCCACAATCTCATGCAGAGTTTATGACAGTGAAGATTATTTTTCATTAAAATAGCCTCTAAATGATAATTATTTAGATCTCTTTTTTTCTTCTCTAATCTAATTACAGTACAGGAGGATTACTTTTTACATTTATCATGTACACTTTTTGTTTCACGTTTTCTTCTTCCTTTCGTCCTTATTGTCAATTAGTCCTGACACATAAAAATGCCATGAATTACTTGCAAATATACATTCTTTTTTGTGCTGTATACTAATGACAAGACCAGTTGTCGGTTCTATACCATAAATAATGCCATTAAATTACATGTATTCCTATTGATGCCTTCCTCTCCTAAAAATCCTGAGTTTGTATAGTGCAGTGTAAACATCACCCTTCATTTATTCGATTTACAGTCAAAACAGTCACGTTATACAAGTTATACATTTATTGTCAGAAAAAAAAATGTATATACAACAAAAAATTACCCAGAAGCCTCAACAACTAAATATTATTGTTTCCAGTATTCAGTGTGTCTTTACCTTTATTACAGCTCCCATTCTTTTCAGGAGACTCTCAGTTCTTCAAATAAATCAGTCTTAGAAATTAGTTTTACATTTTCTGCTTCTCACTATCCAAACAACCTCAAACACATTCAGTGGTGTTGAGGTCTGGACTCTGGGGTGGTCAATCCATTGTTCAGCTTCTTTGTTTGATGTGTCCGTCTCCTTTTCTCAGTGAGGTTCTTCTTGATCAGCTACACATCCTTTCAGACCCATAGCGCTGAGTCGTCTTCTCACAGTGGAAGGATGGACAGAAACACCTGTGGATGTTTTCAGATCTGAAGCAGCTTGATTTTCTCCTCTCTGAAAGCTTTAAACGCTGTTTGTCTGATGGGGGCAGTTTCAGTGTCTACCAGGTTTCTCAGGTGGTTGTTAGGAGTCCCATCTTCTCTGTAGCTTTTAATCGTTTTTTGAGCTCAAGTTTTGGAAACTTCTGTTTTTTCACATATTTTCTTTGACTTTCTCCTTCTTTATTCAAGTAGATTATCTTCTTTCTTCAGAAATATCTTCTGAAAAATGAATAGCTTGTCTCCAATGGCTGCTTTGCCTGGAAATTACATAAATGAAGGGTGCAGAATGATAAAATTGCAGGATGGGATTGGAGGAGAACATAGTGCGGGCTTGGCTCATATAGGTGGTCTACTGAAACAGTCTGAAATTGTGCAACTTTGCACAAATGTTGATGGTGTCAAGCATCACATGGTCATAATATCTCACAGCAGACAGTCTTTCTGCTTAAGAGTGTAATCATTTGCTGCAGAATCTGCTGACACCATTATTATGAAGGCACAATGTCTGTCTGGTTGCTCCAGACAGACATGACAATGTCATGAATTACAGCACCATCTAGTGGCTTTGGGTCTTATAGTTTTTGACTGACAGGTGAAATCTGGGAACATAATGTTTTACTTCCCTCTTTTCAAACTCAAATTCAACTATGCCATACTCCAAAACACAAAGCTTACTTCTGTTTGGTTCAAAAACAAAAGTTTAAAAGTTCAAAAAAAAAATGTTAAATTGTTTTTCACAGATTTTGAAAAAATCTGAATAATTAATTCATTGAAATGCAAACAAAGTCAGAGTGGTTTGATAAAAAATATGCCACTCTAAAAATTCTTACCAAGGGTGATAGGAACCAGACATCAGAAGCATTTAATGCTTCTACGAAGGTCTTGGCCCCAAAATGTATTCTTTAAGTTTACAGTCAAGGTGCAGAGGTGCATGTAGGGCGATGTAAGGCAAAATAGTCCCCAAAGAAAAGTTACTTTTTATCTCTAGATTTACCACGATTTTGCCATAATTTTTACAATGGCTATATTTGTGTTGTACTGTAGATATCCCGCATCCTATCACCACTACTATTAAGAATTCTGAGTCAGCAAGATTGTCTGCAATGAACCACTTCTCATCAAGCCATTCTGAATGACAGCTTAGATCTCAAGGACTGAATTAGGCAGAAATTTTTAAATTTAAGACTCTGAAAGAGGTTTTTCAGACAACCTGCTAAATAAAACAATCCCTCAATAAAGTCTTACACAAAACTCATTAAAGAAGAGTAGCACTTCATATAACCTACCACAATAAAATCTCTTTTTTATGTTTTATATGTGCATCATAACTCATTAACTGAAGTTCCTCTTCTGGGCTGTCATATGAATGTCAAACCAGGCAATTAAGTTGCATTGCACATTTATCATATACCATCTTCTGCAGTTCTTTCTATGGTACCTAACAATATGAAATCCAAGCCCTGCAAATAAAAAGAGAAAATAAAGATAATAATCATCACATAAGCTAGAAAATGACTGGTGTGAATTATATAATCAAAATCTCTTCAATATTGCACATATTAAAAAATCCACACATGCATATTCAGAAATCACTGCATGCACTGCATTTTATGTAAGTACTGGCGTTTACCTTCCAGTGATGTGGTCTGTCCTGTAACGGGTTCTGTCTGAGGTCGAGTTTTAGAAGTCTGCTGAAACCAAGGATTAAGTCATCCTCCAGTGAGGTAATACTGTTAAACTTCATAAGCAGAACTTGAAGACTTGGCATTTCTGGGAAGCACATTGAATATAATCTGATTAAACTTTACTATCTGCAAGCATTGGCCTATTACAGAAGTGGAAAGATAGCATAAACAAGGGTACAAAACCTGGTCCACTTTGACATAAATTCACAGCTCAGGTTGTTAAATATTTTAAAAGAGATTTTCCAGCTGAAAAGAAAATTGTATCCATCACTACATCTACTGTAAATATGCCTACTTGCCTTCTACAGTGGTGCGACAGTAGTCTCTAGAGTGCGGTTTTCTGGTTTAAAGACTAGGAGAAACACCTTCTGGTGATACGTTTTATAGGTGGGAGGAACTTTTGAGGCAGATACATGAAAACTGGTTAAAATTTATTTATTTATTTATTTATGCTAGCTGACTAACACCAAAAGAAGCAAGATAGCTAACTTTACTGCTAGGACTGCCATGTTTATATTCATTAGCCTCTACATAAGTGACTATGCTAGCTGCCAGGATTTCTTTATCGCTCTCAGGGGTCATTGACAATAGTTGTACTACAATGCCCAACATGGATTAGGAAAAATACAACACACAAGCCTTGGGATATATTTGACTAGTGCATGCTGGGTATTGTATTGTAGTGAGAGAACACCAATGGACAAAAACACAAAAAGTTACAAACTATTCAAACAATTGTGGCTGGGGAATGCATGGTATTGCATACCATGATAAATAACACTGAATGTTGGTAAACACCAAAATGCCCCCTTAAGACATTCAAAAGTCAACTTTAATTTCATTCATGCCGGTCTTTGTAGCTACTGACCATTTTTTCCCCAACATTTTTCAGTAAATACAAGCTTTATCTTGAAAATCAATAGGCAATCAATGGAGACATGACTAACCTGTGAGTGCTCTGGGGATATGTTCAAAGCCATTCTTATTCAAATTGATGAAGACTAAGGACTGTAAATGGTTAAAATCCTCTGGTATGTCATGTAGTCTATTATCAGCCAAGTTCAACCACTGTAGACTTCTGAGGCTCCCAAGCTGTGGTGGCAAGGTCGAGACTGAATTGCTATTTAGATCAAGTTTACGGAGCTTAGTGAGTTTCCCAATGGACGAAGGTATAGAAACAAGGCTGCAGTCCACAGCCCAAAGCTCTCTGAGTTCCCTCAGCTCCCCCAAGGCCTCAGGGAGAACTGATAAGGGGTTGCGGCTCACTCCCAGGTAGGTCAGGTGCTTCAGTGCCCCCATGGCAGAAGGAAGCATAGTTAGTTGGTTTCCATCCAGGACCAGCTCCTCAAGCCTTTCAAGCTGTAGAATCTGGAAAGGTTTTTAGTAAATATGCATCACAGGGGTGGGCAACATGATGATATCTTATTGTTATTATGATAAATTGTCACATTACGCTTTTCTGAGCATACTGTGGATATCATCAGTGCTTAAAGAATACTGACGCACTATACGCTTCATTATAAAATGAGCATTATTAGGCCTGTTTAATTGGATATAGTGCAGTGCAGTTTCTAAAACACTGAATAAAAGTCACTATTATATATAAATATTAGTCGTGTTAATGCGTTAAGACGTTAATTCTCTACAGCAGGCCTTTGGTACAGAGCCCCGCTGGTGACATCCTGTATAAACAAAATTTTTTGACATCCTGTATAAATAAAAAAAAGTTGTGGCCATGACTTAGTTAGGCATGGGAACGAGATCACGCCTTACTAAGTTGTGGCCACGCATTAAGATCTCATTCCCACGCCTTACTAAGTTGTGGCCACGCATTATTTTTATTTATAGAGGATGTCACTCTGTACTTTGGGGTTCAAAACATTGTGATCTCCCTGTTAACACGTTCAACATAATTTCGTGTCGACACGCAAAATCGTTAAACCGTGTTGGATTTTGTTGCTGTTGGGAAACCTTTGTGAATCATGATGCTTTACCGCCACCTACTGGTGTGGCGTTATTGCTCAAACCAACAAACCAAAGAATGAAAGAATCCAGTTTTTAAATTGTTTTAAAAATATGCTCTGAACAATATATTTTCGTAGGATTTTCATATAATTTACATAAATTGCAGTTCAAAAGAAAGTTACGCAAAGCCATTTTTCAAAACTTTAATTCCATCTAAAAGTTCAAGTTTATTCTTATTGGATGTTACTCTTGTGTCATTTCCCCTGTCGGCTCAGCGTAGCCACAGGTAAGCGCTCAGCTCACTAGTTCATGAATTATCCAAATGAGACGAAGGGGCTACGTACGCACAGGCTTTACGTTTGGATGTTGTTTGTAATGTGTGCAATAATTCCTATTATGAATATGCATGTATGTCCGGATTTGAGGCCAATGCCCCGTCCCAAACCGCATACTAGCACACTAAATAGTGTGTAAAAATAGAGCATATACAATTAGAAGTGCACTCGTTAGTGTAGTGTGTGAAGTACAGAAGTGTGTGGTTTGGGACGCAGCGCAATGTTCCCGTTCCACCTTAAATGGAGTAGCAGCTACATTCTGGCCCGAGGAGCCAGAATACGACGGCTGCACCATTTAAGGTGGAATGGGAAAATTCGAACAAGAAGCCGGTGAATAAGAGGCTGACATCAACTTCGTCATTATAAAGTGGTTCAGGTTTTTCTTCAGCAGCGTTTTCTTACCTCCTCAGGAGGTAAAATGAGGTGGTTGTCGTTCACAAACAGTCTTTTCAAACGTATCAGTCTGGAAACTCGAGCTGGCAGCAGCACCAGACCGCGGTGACTAATGTTCAGCGACTCGAGCTGCTTTGTTCGACATTCTCCAATGACTTCATCTACATTCATTTAGCCAAAGTCAGGAAAAACTTCAGTAAATGGACGATAGTGGACTCACAACACGGCGTAAACGTGTGGACGCGGCGTCACCATGGCGACAGTCTGCGTAACTTCCGTAACGGATTTCTTCCTTCGTTTACGCTTACTGTTTATATGGAAGCGCATTTCCGCCACATAAAAAAATTACCACGTATTTTTATTGACATTTTATTTATTAATGCCATTAATTTGATATTCTAAGTCATTATTTTCTGATACTAAGATGCTAAGTCATTATTTGAGATGCTCCTCGTATGTGTTTTTAAATGTAAACATGCACCGATCAGGCATAACATTATGACCACCTTCTTGTTTCTACGCTCATTGTCCATTTTATCAGCTCCACTTACTATATAGGAGCACTTTGTAGTTCTACAATTACAGACTGTAGTCCATCTGTTACTCTGCATACTTTGTTAGCCCCCTTTTACCCTGTTCTTCAGTGGTCAGGACCCCCATGGACCCTCACAGAGCAGGTACTATTTGGGTGGTGGATCATTCTCAGCACTGCAGTAATACTGATGCGGTGGTGGTGTGTTAATGTGTGTTACGCTGGTCTGAGTGGATCAGACACAGCAGTGCTGCTGGAGTTTTTAAACACCTCTGTGTCCACTCACTGTCCACTCTATTCGACACTCCTACCTTGTCTGTCCACCTTCTAGATGTAAAGTCAGAGACGATAGCTCATCTGCTGCTGCACAGTTTGTGTTGGTCATCCTCTAGTCCTTCATCAGTGGTCACAGGATGCTGCCCACAGGACGCTGTTGGCTGAATATTTTTGGTTGGTGGACTATTCTCAGTCCAGCAGTGACACTGAGGTGTTTAAAAACTCCAGCAGCCCTGCTGTGACACACTAACACACACACACACACACACACACACACACACACACACACACACACACACATCTCAAAAGCATTAGCTAGGTATCTCAGAATAGCGAGAACGTCATGAGAAAGCATCTCAGATTAATCAAAATAATAACTTAGAATCTCAAAATAGTGAGACAGTATCTCAAACCTATGACTTAGCATGTCAAATAATGACTCAGTATCACCAAATAATGGCATAACTTAATAATGAAAAAAATAATAATTAGGTGCTGGATTGCTTTAAGTGTTGAGAATGGACTTCCATGTTTTTGTATACGCCATGGTAGATTTAAAAACAATTATTTTCAAGCATGTCAAAGCACTCTCACAGAAGAAAACAATGCAGGTGTGAAGAACCACCAGACTGTGCTCAACATATCCCTGCTGAAAAATCCAGCCATGAGCAGCTTTTGTTGGTAGCTGGTTTCAGATGGTCTAAGCTGTCCTCTGATGGTCTAGGTTGAGTCAGGTGTCTTAGGTTAGGCTTGGAGTTAAACTATGCAGGGTGGTGGATTTTCAGGACGAGTGTTGGGCATCCCTTGTCAGGGTGATTGACAATCTGGACACCCAGCTGGACTAGGTCAACCAGCTTGGTCAATCTGGTCATGGTAGTAGACCACGTGTACCATATAGATCCTATTAGGAAACTATCAAATACATCTGGAATCAGTCATAGGTCACCTGTAAACCATCGATTACACTGAGATATCAACACAAAATAGCATTGGACACCACTAGGAACCAAAAGAAACGTTTAATGGATTCTATGATTTTTTTCAGCAGACTAATGGCTTCATACATGTGATGCCTTTGTAAAGGCCTTGCCTTTAAATTCTCTTGTTCGTGTGCCACTGCAAGTTTTGTTCTATTAGCTGCAGGGGTGCACAACTCTTTTTCCTGGAGGGCCAGTGTCCAGCACAGTATGGTAGTCCTTTTACCGAGACACACTCACTAAACCTGACGTTCACCGGAGGAGTTGAATCAGGTATTTGAGCAGGTAATTTACCAAACCGTGCTGGAAACTGGCCCTCCAGGACTGGTGTTGTGCCCACCTGTATTACCTCGTAACAGCTAGCTGCATATGACTTGTTACATCTGCTTTGTAGTCACTGACAATGTTATGGGCTGTCATGGATGAGAGGTTTTTATTGACATTTAATTTTCTAACATTAGACTATATTTTTTATTACCAAAAGTGCTTAAGAAATAGGTTGTATAAAAAATCTCTCGTGGCTGAGGGGGGTTGGGATGATTAACCAACAAAAATGGGCCCCAAACACATCTTATGGAAGGGTTGCCACATCAGCCCTGTAAATTCCTGGACTCTCAATAACTTGAATTTTGTACTAAGTTCGCAACACAATCTTTTGTAGACAGACATTAATTAATCTGTAGGATCTTACCTTCTCAACTGGCGTGTTGCAGTGCAGCCTGTTGCCTGAGCCTGTCACCAGCAGTGAACTTTTTCCAAACAGTTGGCTTCATGCTGAGAGTTATCTGAATCAATTAAGCCTATTCTTGTACACAAATGTTGTGACTGGATTGAAAGAAGCACTGAACGTCTTAGGAAATACTAACATATGAAAATTCTTGGTTCCTGGATATTTTGTATCCAGGAATCCAATTAATATTTCCTTGACAAATAATCTAAATCTAGGACAAACCAAGAAAATCCTGGACAGGTGCAACCTTACACTGTTAGAAATAAAGGTTCTGTGCATTTCTCATTCATCAAGGTACAAGCAATGTGGTTTTAAGGTCCATTTGGGGACCATACAATATAATTTCAATGGATTATGGTACAATTATGCTCTCTGACTAAAGCTACTGAGATGTACCCTTGAGGGTACCACCCCAGTGACAAGAGGGGAACTGCCCCAGTGACAGTTTCATACCTTTATTTCTGAGAGTGAACCCTAATATGGGTTATACCAGCTTGAGCTGGCCAGGCTGTCTTATTTTCCAGCTGGTTTGACACATAGGCAATAACGTAACAAAGTCCATGGACATTTTTATTAGTGTCCTAATGGGTAATATATCAGGGCTATACTCATTTATTAATCAGTTAATCAGACTGTATATCAAGAAAGCACAAAGCTCAGATCAGTGTTTCTCATTCACGCTCCTGTAGTCTCCCTACACTGTACCTTCAACTCATCATCTTAGATTCAGGAAACACTGGCCTACTTCAATGTCCACCTCCAGGCCTGTGTCCACCTGCGCTACATAGCTGTGTGACTCTGCTTTAGCACATCTGAGGACCTGGAAAACACTGCCATAGGCAATGAATTAGTACATAGAAATAAAAATAGTCTAGAGCAGTGGTTCCTCTCTACCATACACTGTTTCAACTACTCCCAGCCCCAGCACATCTGATCCAGCTTATGAGGTCATTATGAAGCCATAAATGAACTGGATCAGGCAGGTTGGGGTAGGGCAGTGCTTTCGAACACTGGTTCTCCAATTGATCAGCTAATTATCAAGCCCTTTTTGAGTTGAAGTGGGTGTGTCAGAGCAGGAAAATTAAAAAATGAGCAGGACAGGGTGTACTGTAACCTGATGATTAAATCCTGAGTTGAATCAGGTGCAGAAAATAACCAAACTGTGCTAGTCTCTGGCCCTCCAGCAGCCTCTGGCCCTCCAGTTACAGTCTGTAACTGTAGAACTACAAAGTGCACCTAAACAGTAAATGGAGCTGATAAAATGGACAATGAGCGTAGAAACAAGGAGGTGGTCATAAATGTTATGCCTGATCGGTGTATGTTTACATTTAAAAACTGTTTTCATTAGTTCCCTTTTAGTCCTTCATATGTAGTTCCTAATTTCTTTTTGGGCTTATTTTCATTCTGGGTGACAGTAGCTGGGCTACTTTGCTTTTGAACTTTAGACTTTATTTAAGGCCAAAGGGCCTAAAATAAGGGGGGTGCTGAAAGACATCCCAGCCAGTCCATCACAGGGCAGACACACAGACATACACATTCACATCTAGAGCCAATTTAGCCACACTCAAATGGACTGATACATGCTGAATGTATGAAGTAGTTTCTCTGCAATTCTATAGGGAACTTTGATGCATTGTTTTTACACCTGTACATCATATTCCAATAAATGATAAATGTACTATTGTGCTTGTGTTGTTTGTGGCTTTGGATGCAGGCCATAACTCAGATATGAATTCCACAGACTTTTCAACATTTCTGTGTAAATAAAACAGACGTAACCATAGTTGTTCAGAGACGTTTGATGTAAAATGGTTCATTCCAGAGAAATGTCGCAAGTATTTTTTTTTCTTGCAAAGGTGATGGTAGGAAACAGACGTTTATAGATTTTAATGCCTACGCATCCTCACAGACAGTTATACAAATAGGTTATGAACATGCTGCTTGATAGTTTTGAGAATAAGGTCTTAGTCTGAGACATACATTTTTAAATCCATTCATGGCCGAGGGGTACATGCAGCCTGTACAGAAGTCTGATATATGGCCAAATATGGACATATTTTATAAAGAGTCAGGCATGTATTTTAAATGATATGTACCTATATGTTGTGTACATATATGTATCAAATAATGGTCATATATGCATAATATATAGATCATACATATATGTGTGATAGGTGAGTGAATTCACAAATGCATAATATACAGATCGTACATATATGTTGATAAAGAGTCCATCTCAGTATAGTTATAATTGTTCTACTATCTGCTTGCTTTTGAATATTGTTATTTAAATGTGTCAGGAAACATATTTCAGTTTCTTTCATGTTTAATTATTTTATTGCAAAAGTTTACAATATGCATGTTTTTAGAATTTAGTTATATAACAACAAAGAACATGCATAAAAACCCTATAACATTAAATTAGCAGATATGAGTAATATATGCCATCTATATATGAATTATGCTCCGCATTCTATATTGTTATATATACACGTTACACGTATGTTTGTATATGCTGATATATGGCCGAAATATATACGTCCCATATTTGAAAAATGATCAAGTTCAGATAAGTTGGCATATATGCCACACACACACACACACACATATACATATATATATATATATATATATATATATATATATATATATATATATATATATATATATATATATATATATACACACACATCTACATGTGACAAATATAAGTTGGGTCTAAGGGAAATCCATGCTAATATACTGTATGTCAATGTTTGAAATCTATATATTGCCATATATTTGATTTCCGTACTGGAGGGCATTGTAAGGCGAATAGTAACCGATTCTTTATTATCATTTTCAAAAGAAAATATATAAACTTTGGAGACACATGTAGGTTCACTAGTTATTTGCGTTGTAGACGTCACAACCCCTGGTCAAAGTTGAGTTATACAGCAACAAAGAAAGAAATCTGTGAAGAAATGTCGAAGTTTCTCTAGTATACACCATTTCACACCAAACCACTCTGAATGGCTTTGTTTACGTTTGAACGATAACGACTCACGGGCAAAATTTTAAGAAATCCACGGAATTCCCCTTTACCATACACGCAGAATTGAAAACCTGCGCTTGTAAGCGCCTTGACTGCGCACTGCGCAGCGTTGATCATCTCGAATACGCGTGAACAGCGCCCCGCCCTCGGCTGTTGTGTTTATCGGAGTACAGCAGTTATAATTCACCAGTCAATCCAGCGGTAAAGACAGCCAGGAGCGGACATGGACACCGACAACCTCTCCGTGGTTTTGCACGCAAAAGGCGATCTGAGGCTGGTATGACGCTTTAAATCATCCTGTTTCTGCGAGTGAGCTGAAGTGTGTGGCTGAAGTTTGGCTGTGCTGGTGTCAGCAGAGCTGCAGCGATTCTGCTCAGTCAAGTAATCAATCATTTCTGCATCGCCAGTTTATTGCTGTCATTCGTGTCATTGCAGGAGCAGCGTCCGATCCCAGAGCCTGGACCCGACGGTACGGACCATCATGCATTACTTTACTTTCCTGTGCAGGTTCCGTCCCTTCCAGAAGCTGCACGTTCATTCAGACTGTCACGTGATCACGTGATCTTTGCCCTCCTTTGAAGTGTAATGCTAAAGGGGAACTTCACCACTTTTTAAAAAGTTCCACATAGTTAAACGGTTGAGGTTTAGGCACAGTCTTTCAGAGTGGTTTGGTGTGAAATGCTCTGTTCTAGAGAAACTTTCTGAGTTAGAGTTGTTCACTGTGGTAATGATAGGAACCAGACGTCTGAAGAGTTCAATGCCTCTATAAGCTCAAAATTGTTATGTATATGCTGCCTGATGCCTGTCGTATCGTATGATTTGTGATAAGGTTTTGGCCTAAAATCTCTTGTTAATTGTTTATTTTAACCCAATTCATGGCAGGGGGTACATGCAGGGTGTTCTAAGGCAGAATAGTCCCGAAAGAATTCCCCCCCCACCACCCCCCATTATTATACCATCAACACTGCATATAAAAACTCAGAAGACACGTGTAGGTACACTGGTGGTTTTCGATTGTACATAACATGAGGCTACATTTGTGTTGCAGTTATGGCAACCCCTGGTTCCTATCACCACCATTGCAAAGAGTCTCTACAACAAACCGTTCAGAAGACTCATGTAGGTTGACTGGTGGTTTGGATAGTAAATAATATCATTATATTTGCACTGTAAACATTGCAACTGTTGCTTCCTATCTGCACCATTGTAAAGAAATCCAGCTTGGTAAGTTTCTCTGCAATGAACCATTCCAACCAAACCATTCTGAATGACCTTATTAACATCTCGAGGATTGAACTATGCAGAGGTTTTGAAAAATTTGGTGGAATTCCCCTTTTATGGCCCTGTGTTTTTGTCTGCAGAGGTGCTGCTCCAGATGCACTCTGTGGGCATCTGTGGCTCTGATGTGCACTTCTGGGTGAACGGGCGGATTGGAGATTATGTCGTGAAGGAGCCGATGGTGTTGGGGCACGAGGCCTCTGGCCGTGTGGTCAAAGTGGGCACTGGAGTGACCCACCTCAAACCAGGCTAGTAACACAACTGCTTTGCTGGAGAGCACTGCAAAAATGATATGATGGCAAGTGAAAGTATCTTACATGTAGTCAGTCCATGCAGTTGTATACGAAAGTTTGAGCACCCCTGGTCAAGTGACATAAGTGAAATAAGTTACCTCATATTCAAATGGGAACTGTAGAACTTAAATATAGCATTTTTCTGCAAATATTAAGGCACAATTTATTTGAATTTACATGTTGAGTTTAACATAATGGAAAAAAATAAAATAAAACATAAAATATACAAAGTGCCAGAACTTTTGCACAGGCTGATTTTATGTTTTATTATTTGTTTCTGTATGTTAAACTCAACAGACATGATCATGTGCATGAAAATGTGCAGAAATGTGTTCTCTGTAGAGGATGTGTTCACTTATTTTCACTTAGAACATGTGTCAGGCTCCAGTCCTCGAGGGCCAAAACACTGCAGACTTCAACACACTGCTTCATTAAACGCAACTGATTCAGCTCATCAGCTCATTAGCAAAGCCTTCATGAACTGAATTCAGAGTGTTAGATGAGGGTGAATGCTAATCTCCGCAGCAAGTTGCCCGGAAGGTCCCCAGTTTGACATGCCTGACTCAGAAAATCAACAAAACATGTTATTTGACCAGGGGCGCACAAACTTTTGCACACAACTGTATATCTAATATTTCTCATTTTAGTTAGTGTTTAAAATTTTATACGATTACTCCATCTAATTCGACTCATTTGCACTTGCAGCAAGACCATTTCACTTGATTGTTTTATATCTAGTAATATAGGCTGAACAGCCCTATAATTCTATAATAATAAACACTTGCCAGTTTATCATTATTGCAGCGAAAGTAAAGCTTATCCGTTCTGCTATATTGTGCCACGTATTGCTGTGTGTATATTGAACACAAGTGATTTTTGATTCCCATTTGATTTTGTCTTTTGTTACTTCTTGTCACTCACAGGGGACAGGGTGGCTATTGAACCTGGAGTGCCCCGCAAAATGGATGAGTTCTTCAAATCTGGCCGCTACAACCTGTCACCGTCCATATTCTTCTGCGCCACACCACCAGATAACGGGAACCTTTGTAGATACTACATACATAATGCCAACTTCTGCTACAAGTCAGTTTTCCAGCAGTGGTTGCGCAACATCGTAAATATCTTGTGTGGTGACTATGGTGGTCCCTGCTGCTGAGCTGGTCCCTGTAACGTCATCCAATGTAGGCTATATCATAAGATAGCAATGATGGCCTGTTGCTGTAACACTGGCTTGTTTAACATGTTATTTTATTTCAAATCTCATTTCATATTAGCATTAGAGCATCTCGCCATTGTCTTATTTCATGGAGACAGTGGCTGCAGCTTTATGTAATATGCTATATGAAGTGATTGTGGACAAAAGCTGTTTAGCTAACTATTATCCCAGCTATACCAGAAGGCCCAGAAGGCCATCTTTGAAATTAAATAGCCCCGTTGCCGTCACAATCACCATATAAAACAATCTTATGTAACCAGCTAACTGCTGCTATCTGACCTGTACTTTGTCCAAGTGGTCCCTGAGTAGCTGACATTTGATAGCAGCTAATATAAGCCACCCAGCATTTTATACATAGCAGCACTTTAGAGAGCAGAAAAGCACTTTATTAGTAATTATTAAAAATGTTTTTCAATCTCTGACATTCATGTAAGCGGTGTAGGTAACCATGTGACAGATTCCAGCCAATAGAATTGCATCTCTGGCGGGGGGACCACCACAGTCACCACGCCAGCCTGTAGACTGTATACTTGGTTGCTTTCAAAAGTTTGACCCCAGTACTACAATTCAATTTCCGTTATTGTTAACGTGGTTATCATTATTTCTATTCCAGACTTCCTGATAATTTGACGTATGAGGAAGGAGCGCTCATTGAGCCGCTGTCTGTGGGGATCCACGCCTGCAGGAGAGCCGGCGTCACCCTGGGCAGCTCGGTGCTCATCTGCGGAGCAGGTCAGCACCTTCTGATGAGCTTTCAGTTATTCTACCTGTACGGAGTGGAGTAGTCCAACTTTATTCATACTCTTTGGCCATATTTGCTCATGTTGAAGTCTACACAATGTATGCTCTGATTTGGTCCGTTAGTAAAGTATTTGCTGTTGTATTTCATATCACTTTATATATATTTATTTATTTGCTTTCTAGTTATAGTATAGTAACTGTATAACTTACACGTTAGTTTCACAGTAGTTATCGAATAACTGATAGCTGTTATTGAATATTAAGCCTAGGGAGACATTTTTTAACCTTGTTTGTGGCAACAGACTAGCAACAGACTAGCAACGGACTAACCTAATTAAGACTACATTGTTTCCTGACAGGGCCAATTGGGCTGGTCAGTCTGTTGGTGGCTAAAGCCATGGGTGCATCTCAAGTGGTAATAAGTGGTAAGTCACACATGCTTGTGGTGCCTGATTATATTTCAGTGTGTTCCAGGCCAAAGCAAAAGTGTGTGAATAATACACTGGAAATTTAGCAGGATAAATACATTTATGATGAATTTCTCCACCAAAGATAATAGTCACATTTTGCCAAATATCCTACTTATCTATGGGAATTTGCATATCACCCTAGTCTGCTTCTAGGGAGTAGAAATCTGCGTCCCGGAAGCTAAATTGTTACAGTCAAATAATAATTCATTTTATGTATGTCTGTGCTCTGAGATCTTTCTGCTGATAGACTGGCCAAGGCTAAGGAATTAGGTGCTGACTTCCTGCTTCCTGTGAAGAGAGAGGATCTACCAGAGGAAATGGCCAAACGTGTGGAGGGCATGCTGGGTGGAATGCCTCACATCAGCATAGAGTGCACCGGCGTGGAGAGCAGCATTCAAACAGCCATCTACGTGAGTTCTGTGTATCTAGAAATAACTATTATATTCACTTCTTATTTTATTACACATTTCAGACTGCTCATGCACGGACATGCACAGCTTGCAGTTTGGTGTTTTCCCTGCTTTATCGCACTGGAATAAACTTAATATTAAGTCCTTTGGGTGAGTAGTTGTTCTCAGGTGGCTGCACAGTTTAGTCATTGTCCTGCTAACATGCAGTGCGACTCAGGAAGGCTTTATTAACAAGCTGCATTAGGTTAACAATGTGTTGCACAGACAATTGTCTTCAAGTCAATGTTAAGAAAACCAGGCATGGTTATTGATTTTATACAGTCCAAGACTGCACCCTCCTCAAAAAATGCTTTTTTTAGCTTTGTACAGGTAATATTTCTCCTTAATAAATGTTTGTACTCCATCTCAGTTCAACAAAATAGTAAGTTAAGCATACTAAAAAAGTGAATGTTGCCTCCTTATAAGCTGAGATTGTTTAGTTTTTGGTGGACTTTTACTCCCGTGATTCAGGCCTATCACACAGTTCCCCCAGCCTGGGTGGGTGAGGGCTTCCTCCTCTCAGTCTCCTGACCGCTCAGGGCTGAGGGATTTGCAGGATTCAAACTCATGACCTCTTGATTATTAGGCAGTTAGACAGTTGCGCCACTCGGGAGCCACAAAATTGTCTAAATTTCTGTGTCCAGAAAAATATATGAAGGTGATTTAACTCAGAGCAGAATGACCTGTCCTTAAATATTGCCTCATGGTTAGACAGAGAGCTCTGTCTGCGCTTAGATAAAGAACAGTTACCTGTGTCGTGACTGTCTGACAGCCTGATCATCAGGAGACAAGGGATCACAAGTTAGAATTTAGGTGCTGCCTCAGCTCTCTGTGGTCAGGAGTCTGACAGGCGGAAGTCTTCACCACCTCCCCAGGCTGGGGGCACCGTCTGGTAGAGGGAGGTGGGAACTGGCTAGTAGTGGGTGACATACCGGTTCATTCAGTATACTGGTGGAATGTTTCAACCCCATAAATGGCCAGGACCCATCGGCAGGCCCAAGGTTTTATTACACACTTCTATTATACACAAATCAGGCATAACATTATGACCACCTCCTTGTTTCTACGCTCATTGTCCATTTTATCAGCTCCACTTACTATATAGGAGCACTTTGTAGTTCTACAGTTACAGACTGTAGTCCATCTGTTTCTCTGCATACTTTGTTAGCCCCCTTTTACCCTGTTCTTCAGTGGTCAGGACCCCCATGGACCCTCACAGAGCAGGTACTATTTGGGTGGTGGATCATTCTCAGCACTGCAGTGACACTAATGTGGTGGTGGTGTGTTAGTGTGTGTTGCACTGGTCTGAGTGGATCAGACACAGCAGTGCTGCTAGAGTTTTTAAACACCTCAGTGTCACTGCTGGACCGAGAATAGTCCACCAACCAAAAATATCCAGCCAACAGCATCCTGTGGGCAGCATCCTGTGACCACTGATGAAGGACTAGAGGATGACCAACACAAACTGTGCAGCAGCAGCAGATGAGCTATCATCTCTGACTTTACATCTACAAGGAGGACTGACAAGGTAGGAGTGTCTAATAGAGTGGACAGTGAGTGGACACAGTGTTTAAAAACTCCAGCAGCACTGCTGTGTCTGATCCACTCGTACCAGCAGAACACACACTAACACACTACCACCATGTCAGTGTTACTGCAGTGCTGAGAATGATCCACCACCCAAATAGTACCTGTTCTGTGATGGTCCATGGGGGTCCTGACCACTGAAGAACAGGGTAAAAGGGTGCTAACAAAGTATGCAGAGAAACAGATGGACTACAGTCTGTAACTGTAGAACTACAAAGTGCTCCTATATAGTAAGTGGAGCTGATAAAATGGACAATGAGCGTAGAAACAAGGAGGTCATAATGTTATGTCTGATCTGTGTATAAGAATGTTTCAGCCAGCTTGTATTGAAGTCCCTTTGTATATAATAAGCCTGGGCTTCTAAGGGGTTGACGTACGAGATTTGTGAAGTCATGTGAAGTTGTCTTTGTCATTTTTCAATTTGGCTTGTATACATTGGAACGAAATGCCATTCTTCAAACCCCAAACACACAACAGCAGCACATTACACAGGACTACTTAGAGTGCAGATGCACAACAGTGTGAAACGATTGCATAATATACAATAAATATACAGAACAATACACACAACAATAAAGTAACAAAACAATACATATACATGACAAATACACGTGATGCAGCTAGACAGGACAGCGAAACAATATGCATGAATTCGGGTCCCAAAGCAGCATTTACAGATTAAGATTCAAAGAATTAAAAGTGCAGGTGTGCAGTGATGGTCAGGGTTGTGTGATCAGTCTGCATCAGTGAGTTCAGCAGTCTGACTGCCTCAAGTTAAAAAGCTGCTGCAGAGTCTGGTGGTGGTGGTACGGATGCTCCCATACCAGAAGGGCAGAAGGGTTAAGAGTCCATGGGAGGGGTCGTCCACAATGCTGGCAGCCTTGTCCTTGTAGATGCAGCTCTTGTGGTAGGAGGTGTCGATAGTGGGGCGTGGGGGTGTGAGAGTTGCTCTCTTCCTCCGCAGGAAGTGACGTCATTGCTGGCCTTTGACTTTTTCCATAGTTGAACCACTGATGTGCAGTGGAGAGTGATCACTGCGGTTCCTCCTGAAGTCAGGAGTCGTTTCTTTCATCTTATCGACATTAGATCTTTGTCTCTGCACCAGCCTACAATTTCTGTTATTACTGTTATACCAATATGCCAGAAATGAATAAATCTCCCATATAGTACGTTGCAGTCTTAGGTACGTTAGTCCAGTTTGTTGTTGAAGAAGCATAGATCATATTGCAATGAGTTCAATGGGAAATCCACCAACCAAATCATTCAGAGTGGTGAAATGCTCCGTTCTAGAGAAGCTCACTGAGTCAGAATTGTTCACAGTGGTGGTGATAGGAGTTTAACACCTCTAAAAGCCCCCTCACAGAAAGTTATCACATGAAATGGTAACAAAGATGCTGCCTGATGCTGGTGACGTTGCATTTGGGATAGTTTTCAGAAGATTTTTGCCTTAAATGTATTGAAAACATATTCAAAAAAGATATTTAAAAAAAACTTATTCGAAAATCGTACTAAAAACACATTGAGATTCATTCATGGTGGAGAGGTACACGTAGGGCAGTGTAAGTCAAAATAGTCCCTGGAGAAACCCTTTTTGGATTTACACACTATTTTACCATTATCAATATTTCATAAAAAAAAATGGCATTATTATGTCAGGACCGAAGCCTATCCCCTTCAACCCCAGGCCTCCAACACAATATTACTGGCTAAACACTTTCACTAATAACTGTTCTAAATCTAAGTTCTCAAAAGATGTAAAAAAGGAAAGAGTCTTCAGACGCTGAGTTTGTGGAAAGAGGGAAAAAAGATTCTTCTTTATTTCAGCAACAAGTGGCACAGGGTCTCGAGAGACCCCAACTGAGCAAATACAGTGTTCCAAACAACAGTTTATAAACCATTTATCTGGGGTAGTTTGATATCCCCCCACCTTACTTCTTAAATTTTGATATTAGCTCATTCTCTAATAGGTGCATCTCTTCGTCCATCAATTTGGCCATCGCATGATGAGCTCACTCCTAAAAACTGGTTTCAACCGGTTTTTACCAGTCTGCTTTACCTTTCAAGGTCAACTTGCCCCTCTCTTCACTGAGTCAGTAGGCACACACAGGCCTCTCTGTGAAGTTTTCCAGTGTCTAGAATCTCCTATGCAGACAGACTAAGGCAGAACCTTTGTGAAAGAATTAATATTCGCTGTTAGCCAACACTACCTGTTTGGTTATTGATTACAGTATCTAATCTATTTGATTACTGATTAAGGGAATATTTATTCAAAATCTCTGTCAATTTACATTGCTGACATCATGTCCCCTGGTTCGTGTCATCACCACTGCAGAAATCTGACTTGGTTTCTCTACAATGGAACACTTCACATCAGACCACTTTGGCTGACTTTTCTCAATCATTGAATTATCCAGAAATTTTAAAACAATAGTGTAATTCCCTTTTAATGCTATACATTTATTGTATTTATTGTTATAAAAAAGCTGCAATAAATGAATTCACCAGTTAAATGAATGTATTTTGAAGCACTGTTCAACAATCAAGTTGTTGTTAGTGGTGTTTGTTACTTGCAGTGAATTCAGTACAGTGTGCAGGGTACTCATTTTTGAGAAACACTGTTTTCTGAACTGCTGTGGATGTTGAGAAACGCAGTTTGGCCCTTTTTCCATCTGTCTTTGTGTGCTGTCTTTAGGCCACTCGCTCTGGGGGAGTAGTGGTGTTGGTGGGGCTCGGTGCTAGCATGACCACAGTGCCTCTCGTCAATGCAGCGGTCAGAGAAGTGGACATCAGAGGCGTGTTCCGTTACTGTAACACGTAAGTATAAAAAACCTTTTTTTAAACAAGAGCTTCACTTATTTAACAGCAGTTCCTGCCCCTAAAATGCCATGGCTAATGATGTAGTCTGATGCTCAGTAGTTAGCACAATCTTCTCAGCCCAGGTCTGGCATATCTTAATGATCTGTTAAAGTGTTACAGCCAGTGGTGGACGAAGTACACAAATCATGTACTTGAGTTAAAGCAGAGATACCCAAGGTAAAATATTACTCCAGTAGAAGTTCCTCCCTTCAGACCTCCACTTGAGTAAAAGTACTAAAGTATTTGCCTTCAAATGTTCTTAAGTATCGAAAGTAAAAGCACTAAAAGATTAATTATGGCTCTGATGTCCTATTACCATTTTAGTAACAACACTCTTGCTCCATTAACTAATTAACTAACTAATTTTACGTGAAAATACTCCAGTGTCACTCTTGGTAAACCAGTCTTTTAATAGAATGTCATTAATTAATCTGACGCTGGTGTCTATTAAACTTATCATAAGCACAAAACACTGAAGGCAAACGGTTTCCATTAGGTAGAACTGAGTGGCTCTGAAATAACTTTTTGTGAACAAGAAAAGTTTCAGTTATTTGCAAATTAGTTCCAAGTTTAAGTTTAATGAAAACTTTAAACTCAGGATCACAAACGAATTTTCCTTTACTAAACTGCATCTGTAGGTCTCTGTTCATAAACATAAACTAGCCAAAACAAATTTACTATAAAATGAAAGTGTTTGTATGAATTCAGAAAAAAGACACATCCAGTCACAACTGCATATGTGTACATATTTCTATATTGTGGTCTATTTACACAAAGTTAGGTCAGTTCATCATTTATGTTGAATAGACACTCCCAAAATTTTACGCTGCTGCACTGACGTTGAACCGTATACTTGCACTGGGTCGGTATGACCAACAGGTCAAAACAAGCTCAAAACAAAGTGTGCGCTGTGCCCTGATTGGTGTTCTTGCTTTGCGCTTCTTTTGTTTTGGCATGTTACGTTTTTATTACATACATAAACCAAAAACAACAGATTTCACAAAATGTAGTGGAGTAAAAAGTGAGATATTTGACTTTGAAATGTAGTGGAGTGAAAGTAAAAAGTCACCCAAAATGGAAATACATCAGTAAAGTACAGATACACGAAAACTACTTAAGTACAGTAACGAATTACATTTACTTCGTTACTGTCCACCACTGGTTATAGCCCATCCAGACCGCTTCCCTCAGCTGAGGCAGGTTCACTGCAAATGTCTAGGATCTTTTACAGCTCAGTTGGTGCTGATCATTCTGCTAAACTCTGGAATAGCCTTCCAGATAATATTAGAAATGCAAGTGAGAGGAGTTTTAAATCCAGATTAACCATTTAGCTGCATATTATAGTCATATGCAACAGTTTGGGCATCCGTGGCCAAATTACATGTTGTTTGGTGTTGAAAGTGGAGATAATTCAACATACTGTACACATTTAATGTACAATTACTGTTCATTTGCTAAAAAAAACATATAATGTGCCCTGTGCAAAAGTTATGGCACATTTTATATTTAATGTTTTTATATTTTTCCAGTATGTTGAACTCAGCAAATAAATAGAAATTGTGCACAACAGAAAAATACCGTATTTAAGTTTGTTCCCTGTAGAGGATTTCATTAACTTTTTCATGTAACTGTGTGTCTGGAGTATTGTGGCTCATTTTGTTATCTTTGGAATGTTTTACTTATATTCCTGTGAAAAGCACTTGGAGATATAAAAAGTGTGCAAGTAAATGAATTAATAAATAAATAGCCTGGATTCAATTTTAGCAACATTAGCATTTTCTCTTATAGAGTTGATTGAAAAGTTATCATTGAACTGCATACTGAAGGACGTTCACGTTCAATTTTCCAGGTGGCCTTTGGCAATTGCAATGCTGGCTTCCAAGCGGGTCAACGTGAAGCCCCTGGTCACCCACCGCTTCCCACTGGAGCAGGCTATACAGGCATTTGAGACGACAAGACAGGGAGTCGGTGTCAAAGTCATGCTGAAGTGCGACAAAAATGACCAGAACCCATAAGACCCTGAACCCTTCACGCACTACAACAGCAAAGCCCTTTGATCTTGCTAAGCCTCCTCCATTCACCCAGTCTAAGAAATAATCTTTTGTAAAAAATGATTTTTTTAAATTACTGCTTAAACAGTCGTGTATTTCTAGCGATGAATGTGATAAAAGTAGTTACAACATTTTTTTTTAATTGCTACCTTTTTCACTTATCAAAGTATTAAAAGAGAATCGTCTTTAAAAAAAATGTGTCACACCAGTTTGTATATTTGTGCTGACCGTGGTTAATCTTTACAGAAGACGAGTAAACACTGTCCACTGTTATGCAAACACTAAGCACAGGCTTTTTATAATGGCTGTTTTGCTCACACCTTAAAATGGGCACATTTGGCATATGAGCTGATGCTTCCTTTGTAACTATCAGAAAACTACATGGACTTGAGTGAAAGGCGGATTTTATTGGCACTCTCAGACAATATTTCACAAGCTGCAATATATTGGTTTAGCCACCAGGGGCCGACAGAACCCTACAGACTGTGCTAATGAATTATCACACAATTTCAGGCACAGAGTCTTCAGTTCTATTAAAGAATTCAACCACCACAACTAAATGTTCCACTTACTGTTGCCTAGCACAGCTTCAGAAACCTAGTCAGGAGGATGAATAGCTATTTGTCTAATCCAAGAACAATTAAAGTTACAGTACTGTGTAAATGTCAGAGACCACACATTTATTTTTTTTCCCTAGTCAAAACAGCAATTAATTACAAGTTATTCATTTTTCAGGAGATTTGAGATAACCCACTTGCACAAGGCAGGAGAAAGTAAAAAGAAAATAAATGAAAAACAAGGAGTGTCCAAAGATGGAGTTCAAAAAAGGATAAAAAGCTTCAGAGAGAATGAGACTCCTAACAACCACGTGGAAGAGCTGACAGGCCACCAAACTGTCTCCATCCAATAAACAGCACTTAAAGCTTTCATCTTTGAGAGAGAGGAGAAAATCAAGCTGCTTCAGATCTGAAAACATCCACAGGTGTTTCTGTCCATCCTTCCACTGTGAGAAGACGACTCAGTGCTATGGGTCTGAAGGATGTGTAGTTGTTCAAGAAGAACCTCACTGAGAAAAGGAGACGGACACATCAAACAAAGAAGCTGAACGATGGACTGACCACCCCAGAGTCCAGACCTCAACACCACTGAACGTGTTTGAGGTTATTTGGATTGTGATGCAACTAAAGTGTAGAAAAACGTCCAGATTAATAATAAAAAAAACAAAAAAACACAAAACTAAAAAATAAGTGTCACAAAAAGGATAGAAGCTGTAATTAAAGTAAAGAGTGGACACACTAAATACTACAGAGCCCTGATGATGACATCCTGTGTGAATAAAAATAATGTGGCCACGCCTTATTAATGCGTGGGAGCAAGGTCCTAATGCGTGGTCATGACTTAGTATGCCGTGGGAACGAGATCACAGCTTACTAAGTTGTGGCCACGCATTATTTTCATTTATGCAAGATGTCACCAGCGGGTCTCTGTAAAATACTGAAAAACTGATTATTTTTAGTTGAGGCTTCAACTAAACTAAATGCATTTGATGGTTTTCTAAGGTGTTCTACAGGAAACTAGTGGTCTGTTTTAGAAACCATTAAGCCAATTCCCATTAAAAAGCTAAAGGTTTTAATCCTTTTTCAGCAGGTTTAGATCTGTACTGTTTCTGTTCAGCAGGGGGAGTGGTCAGTACTGTATGATCATAACTATGAGAAAATAAATGAAACTATATACAAGTACGCAGTATTTCTAAAGCTGCAGTGTGGCATTTTAACCACCAGGGGTCGACAAAGCCCTAAAGACTGCCATTGTGAATTTTCACCAGGAGCAATCATTTTACTTCAGCATGTCTCTTGGATTCTTGGTCATCTTAAATGCGTGCTGCGCAGCGTTGACCACCTTGAATGTGCTTTGCTGGCCAGTTCTCCGCCCACTGACCTGCTTTTTCAGTGTATTAACTGCAGTTTTAATGCACTATTCAACAAACATTCAACCCATATAAGGACAACTAGGAGTAAATATGGACACGGACAACCTCTCCGTGGTTTTGCATGGGAAAGGCGATCTGAGGCTGGTATGACGGTCTAAATCATCTTGCAGCTGTAGTGAACTGAAGTAGATGACCTGTAGCTGAAGTTTCACTGCTTCAGTCAGCAGCGCTGCAGGTTTCACTGTAAAGGTTCAGAAGTTTGTAAACACCTCCTTATCCAGAGTTTCTTCTGAAATGAACAGTGTTTCTTCTGAAATGAACAGGTTTTGCTCTTCTGGGAAGATTTACACTAGATGTTGGAACATTGCTGTGAGGATTTAATTGCATTCAGCATTAGTTAGGTCAGCTTCTGATTTTGGATCATTACAGTCTCAAAAAGGGTTGGCTGAAATGCCCCATTAAAGAAGCTGAGTGGGCATTCGGTCCAGTCAAGCACTTTGGCTTTGCCAGTTTACTACTGTCATTTGTGCATTTGCAGGAACAGCGTCCGGTACCAGAGCCTGGACCAAATGGTATGGACAGTCATGCAGTATATCATTTCCCTGTGAATGTAATGTTAGCTGTGCTGAGTCCTATGTTGTTTATTTCCTGCAGAAGTTCTCCTCCAGATGCACTCAGTGGGAATCTGCGGTTCTGATGTGCACTTCTGGCAAAATGGGGGGATTGGGGACTCAGTCGTGAAGAAGCCGATGGTCTTGGGCCACGAGGCCGCTGGGCGTGTGCTCAGAGTGGGCACCGGGGTGACCCATCTTAAACCAGGCCAGTGACCCCACAGTCTGCTGCAACAAACAGAGCCACGTTTTGGTAGAAATGTATAAAAGAACACAGCTTTTTTTTTTTGTTTGTTTGTTTTTTTGACTTTGTCCTCTTGCTTTGTCACCCACAGGAGACCGGGTGGCCATTGAACCAGCAGTGCCCTCTGAAATGGATGAGTTTGTCAAATCTGGCCATTACCACCTGTCACCCAACATATTCTTCTATGGAAGACCACCTGATGATGGGACCATTTGTAGATACTACAAACACAGCGCCAGCTTCTGCTACAAGTCAGTTTTTTAGCAGTCATAGCACAACGTCATGATGTATAATCTGTGTTGCAAAAGCTGTGCTACAGCAGAGAAAGGTGAGAGCTCTGTAGCTGTGTCCTCTGAAGGCTAAGCAAAACAGAACTGTCTTCCTTCCTGCTTTGTCACGCCATCAGAAAGGAGTCAGCGCAAAATATTTGACAGAGAAATTGATGATGTGAATGTTAGTAAGCTGGCAAGGAAAACCTTGATTTGATTGATGTAATGTGGCGAGTAAAACATGAATTTGCTTGTGTTAGAAATTCGGCAAGAAGAGTCAGGAGACTGGAGCTTAGGCGTTGACTGGAGTTTATTTCCACATACAGAGTATGGGTACAGCGTGGTCGATCAGCAGTCAGTCAGCATTATCAGGAGTCTAGTCTTATTCACGTGCATGCAGACAATCATGCAGGGGCACAACTTGGTTATCAGTGTGTCACCAGTCTGGTCTGGTCACCAGTCTAGTCTAGTCCAGTCTGCAGTCCAGTCTAACAAGAATATTTTAGAAGAACCTTATAAACTAAGGAGGGGGACGGAAGAACAAAAGGACTTTGAGGAGGGGTAAGGAGGGGTTGTAGACGGGGGATATGAATAGAGATGTAGGGGGTAGAGATAAGGGGGGGTTGATGGTATAACCTTAAGGTCGTGAGACAAAGGGTCATTTAAATACAAACGAAGAAGTGATCGGGCAAGGTGAGAGTGCGACCAGTTTCACCTTTCTGACATTTGCTCCCTACAATGAAAATGGTTTAGACCTTAAGAAGATGACATATATTGAGAATATTTTCTCTCACTTGAGATGAAATACCATCAGTTCACTAAAAGCTGGGGCATTTCACACCCTGCATTACCCATTTACAATTTACAACCTGTTACAAAATACTTTATATCATCGCAATCCAAAAAAAAAGGATTACATTTTTTCAATTTTTTATTTTTCTGCCCATTTGAGCGCAGCAGCTGCACTTGTGTCAAATTTTCATGATTAATGGACCAATAGAAATAGTACATAATCAATTGTGAAAAATCTCATTACACTGACTTACAATAAACATTCAGAACATTTTTTGCATCATCAACATCTTCACCTATAACCGTTTTCTGGACAGTGATGATAATTTACTGTACATTTTACTGGCCTGTTTAAACAGCGTGTAGCAGTTGGTTTCATCTACCAGTGTTTTCTTCGAATCAGACGTGCGCAAATGATTAAGGGCAACACAAGACCAAGAAGGATACTGCGTCCTTGAAAATTGCAGACTGCTTTTCTCAGTTGTTTTTGCAGAATCCTTTTGATTAGAACAGACTTCGATGACAAAGCGGCCTAGAACACAAAAAGTGGCATCTTGTCAAATAAAATTCTTAAATACAGTGACTAAATCTAATATTTCATCCTTTTGAGATTGTAGCAAGTTTAAAGTAAGATTATTTAACTTATTTCTAGACATTTTGAACTTGTTTTAAGTAATTTTATTAAGTAAAATGACCTTTTTATCTTTTATTTTGCTTGTTTTAAAAAATGTGCTTGAAACCAGTACAATTTCTGCCAATATAGTGAGATTTTTTCAATAAAATGACCTAAAACAAGTGTCTAAAAACAAATGAAATAATCTCAATTTAAGCTTGCATAAATTTCAACAGGAGAAATATTAGATTTATTGACTATATTTAAGATAATTATACTTGACAAGATGCCACTTTTTGCAGTGAAATGCATCCCACCTGAACCACAGCCCAGCTTTTGGAACACAGCTATAGTGTGGGAGCCTTTACAGGATTGCAGGACTGTTTAGGCTAATTTGGGACACATTTTGAAAGACTAAAGGGCCTGTTTGGCAATGGGTCAGGTGTTCACATCAGACATTAAGTGTCCTGGTGAAAGAAAGAAGGATATTGGTGTTAGCATAAGGAGTGTAACAGCACTTTCCTGACACCAGCAGCAAACATTAGCACACCTTAATCTGTATCAGGTTTATTTCCATGATAAAGATATTACACAACAGCAATGTAAACAGTTACTTATTAAATGGGACTTTTATCCAAGAGTACTTTGAACTCTTTAACATTGAATATGAGTCAAGAAAACCTTATCACACCCATCACATTGATACATGTGGCATCACATTTGTCAACTGTATTTGTGGTTACTTTCAAATTTTCCAATCACAAAGACTGGGATAGACTGGGCATGCCTTACATCACTGACCCTCCTGCGGTTATCATTATTTCAAATCCAGACTCCCTGATAATGTGACATATGAGGAAGGTGCGCTCATTGAGCCGTTGTCTGTGGGGATCCACGCCTGCAGGAGAGCTGGCGTCACCCTGGGCAGCTCGGTGCTCATCTGTGGAGCAGGTCAGCACCTTCTGATGACCCTTAAGTTTTTCTAATAACATAACTGTGTATGGAGTTGAGTAGCGCTGCCTAATTTAAACTCTTGAATTGTATTTGATTAAATGCTTCTACACAAGTCTACCAAGGTGCCATTGTTTCTTGACAGGACCGATTGGGCTGGTAACTCTAATAGTAGCTAAAGCCATGGGTGCATCTCAAGTGATAATAAGTGGTAAGTCACAAATTGTTCCTGCTTATGTTTAAAGTTCTGAAGACAAATACAGCTTACCTGCACACATGAACTGTAAATTGGGAGGAATGGCCTTTAAATATACCGAGTTAACTGTAGTGCTTCATATAATGCACCTCAAAGCTCTGATAGCTTCTCATTACAAGGACAAATGAATGTAAATTTGGATATTGCTCAAAAATAAAAATAAAATATGCCAACCTGGAACCTAAAGTGTTTCAAAGTTGAATAGCAGTCATCTATTTAATGCCAAAGTGTCCATTCCTGGTCCTGAAGATCTACCGCCCTTCAGAGTCCAGCTCTAACCCTGTTCTAACATACCTGATCCGGATAATAAAGGCGTTCAGGCACATCTGAATGTTAACAGTCAGGTGTGTTGGATCCGAACTCTCCTCGGTTTTAGATCTCCAGGTCCAGGATTTAGCAGCCCTGACTTAATTGAGCACAGTGTTGGTTCAGGCAGGCCATGAAGTCCAGCTTAGGCCACAGTCTCAAATCACCAGCATTTATATGTAGCAGGCTCATTTGATTGCCTGCTACACATACCATTGGCTAAATTTGTCAGGGCTTTTACTTAAGCTGCTCTAGCCTGCCCGTTTTTGGCTCTTCCTCTGTAGCCCACTTTGCAACCTCTTGCTGACCAGTGGTTTGCCTGGTATAGTCATTTTGGGGGTCTTTCTGATGCCTCAGGCTTTTCATGTGTGCACATGGAAAGGCAGGGAGGTCCTGGAAAAGGGCCATAATGACAAATATAGGTTACTGCAAATGGAAACAAAATATTTTCTTTGAATAAGTGTTTCTAAATGAAATGCATTTTTGTGCCCTGAGATCTTTCTGCTGAGAGACTGGCTAAAGCTAAGGACCTAGGAGCTGACTTCCTTCTTCCTGTGAAGAGAGAGGATGCTCCACAGGAAATAGCCAGACGTGTGGAGGGCATGCTGAGTGGAATGCCTCACATCAGCATAGAGTGCACCGGCGTAGAGAGCGGCATTCAGACAGCCATCTATGTGAGTCTGTATATTTAGAATCAAATGAATTCTTTCAGTGCATTTCCAGACACTGATCTCTACTTCACTTATATATTTCATTTCTGAAGTGAAAAGAAGTAAACACAACCTCTGCAGCAAACAAGTTAGCACAGTTACTTTATATTTGATAAATTGTATGTTTATATTTGATAAACTGTATATTTGGTTAGGCAGGGTTAAGGATTGTTCTTAGGCATTCTCAGCTGATGAGCGTAATAAGTTTTTCTCATACTCCTCAAACCTTGTGCTAACACGCAACAACTATGGGCTCCTTTAAACAGCTGGCTGAGGATCTGAAAACGATAATTGATGTTTACAAAGCAGGAGAAGGCTATAAAAAGATAGAAAAGAGTGCTTCCAGCTGTCAGTGTTCACTGTCTAAAATGTCATGTCAGAAATGGCAGTTAAGGGGAACTGTTGAAGGCAAGATCTGGAAGACCAAGAGCTGCTTGTATGCTGGCCAGAAAGGCAAAGCAAAACACCCATATGACAGCAAAGGACCTGCAAGAAGGTTTATCTGACACATGAGTGGTGGTGCACCATTCTACTGTGCAGTGTTGCTTGCACAAGTGTGATCTGCATGGAAGAGTCATCAGAAAGAACTGAGTGTGTACTATCCTTAGGCTACTCGCTCTGGGGGAGTAGTGGTGTTGGTGGGGCTTGGTGAAAAGATGACCACCGTGCCTCTCCTCAATGCAGCTGTCAGAGAAGTTGACATCAAAGGCGTGTGTCGTTACTGTAACACGTAAGTCTACAGTACACCATGTTCATGTAAGCAAAACATTTTAGCGTCACGTTTTAGAAGAACCTCACTTATTCGCAAGGAATACTTCCCTCCAAATTGCTAACCTGCCTATCACTGAATAAAATCTAGTGTTGACTGGTTACCATGATTGTCTGTGTATTACCTCTTTTGCATAACTTAGCCAAACAGCTTTCACTACTAGCGATGGTAGCACTGCTAATAATGATATAATTCTGTATAGAATATTAAATGAAGGTATGTAGGGGAAATACAATGTATAGGTATATTCAGTATTCACTTCTTGCTTTGTGTCCAGGTGGCCTTTGGCGATTGCCATGGTTGCTTCTAAGCAGGTCGACGTGAAGCCCCTGGTCACCCACCGCTTTCCACTGGGGCAGGCTGTCCAGGCCTTTGAGACGACACGTCAGAGACTTGGTGTCAAAGTCATGCTGAAATGCGACAAAAACGACCAGAACCCATAAGACCCAGAACCCCTCACTGACCACAGTCATTTATTAATGCTATGGCCCCCGCTACTCTGCCCAGTATGGTCATTCTTAGAAATAATCTTCTGTAATTAGTCATGGCAGTTTGCAGCTTTGAATGCAATGAAAAGATTATATGCTTTTGTAATGGCCACCTCTCACACTTACCAAAGTATTAAAAGAGCACTTTATTTTAGAAATGTGTCACAACATAACTGTGACCAGGTTTATATGGCAATCACTCTGTCAGAATGTTAGAGTGTCAGTTGTCTATTAACGTTTGTACTGTGAGCGTGCCCCCTCTACAGGTTAAGATGACCTTTAAAGAGAGCAGGCCTCTCTGTGGGGTGTGGGCAGCTGAAAAGGTGCTACACGGTCTTTTGTCCACACATGCTGGCATATAGACCAAGCTGCTTTATTGTATTTGCTGGATAATTAGATTTCAGCCTTTTCCATCTTTTGGTTTTTGTCCATTAGATGTTCTAATCGTGATTTATTTTTCCTCATTCTGATTCTGATTTTTTGACCAATGACTTTTCTTTTTTGACCCTTATCTGACCGTATACAACCCAGTCTGAAGAAGCATTTCATCATGCAAAGAACTTTAAGCATGCATGGTTCTATAAATAACCATTGTCTTTACTAAAGAACCCCTGAAGAACCATCTTTTTTCCCCCTTATATCTGATGTTGGGCTAAGTGAATACATAAAACACACTAGTACATTTCCAGTACTTTCCTGTAGCCCAGGTCACAATATAAACAACATTATTTGTTCTTTAAATAAATAGAAATTAAAATAAATAGAAATTACAAATAGAAAATACAAATTATAAGTATTAGAATCGTATAAGAAAATGACACAGATCAAATTAAAAGATAAACACCACTGTATTTTACTATAATTTACTATAAGGGTGTTTGTAGAAGGTCAGTATCTGCAGATCACGTGCTGGAACATAAACAGACAGAAACTCTGTGATGTAAGTAGGTTAACATAAATTCTTACAAAGATAAACAAAGTCATTCAGAGTGGTTTGGTGTGAAATACTCCGTTTTACAGATTCTGAGTCAGACGTGTTCACAGTGGTGGTGATGGGAACCAGACGTCTGAAGAGTTTAATGCTTTTAAAAGCTCCCTCACAGAAAGGTATTACACTAAATAGTTAGGAATACACTATCTGATGCATGATACGTTGTTTTATGGTAGTTTTAAGATAAGCTTTTGGCTCAAAAGATATTTTTTAAAAATACATTTATGGCACACAGGGACATGCAGGGGGCAAAGAGGCTTATTTTTTTTCATTTGTACCACTATTTTATCACTGTAAATAATACATGTAGATCATTTTGGATAGTAAATAAAATGGCTATATAGCCCATTTCCTGTCACCACCACTGTAAAGTGGTCTGATTCTCTAAGTCTCTACACTGCGCCATTTTACTGTAAAACACTCTGAATGACTTAATGACACGCTCAGTGACTGAATTAAGCAGACATTTATGAATATATGCTAAAAATGCCACTTAAAATTAATTTTAAGTCACTGTACAAGAGAAAAAAAGTATCTATTGTTACCAAAACCATAAACCCAGGTAGTTTATCATGTCTGTTTTGCTCCTGGAAAAGAACCCATTTTGCACATTAGGTTTCAAACTGTGGATTTAATGTTAAAACTGATATTACACAAGCTGCAGTGTGTTACTTTAACCACCAGGGGCCGACAGGGGCTAATGAATGATCACACAATTTTAGGCCTACAGCTTCTGCTCAGTTCTGTAAAAGAATTAAACTTCCACAACTGAATTCTCCACTTATTGTTGCTATTTTAATGATCGGAATGCTGCCATGGTTGGAAGATGCTGGCACCGGTGTGGATCCAAGCTTCCGGATCATACGAATAACGGACCCAGTCACCAAGTGCATACAGCTGCTCCAAAGGCCAAGAATCAAAAGCACAAAGTGAGCCCAGCAAGGGGTTATGTTACACTTTATTGTTTTTTGGGATTGTCACAATGACATTGTAGGCTGCATGCAGACAGGTAATTATCTGTGATTTTGTTGGCTTTTCTCGTTTCACCTTTTATTACATTTTCAAAAGCTTTCTTACTCAGCGGTAAGGCTTTTGGTCACAGTGTGAACATATTTTCCACAAGCCCGACACAAAGGTGTTAGAGCCAGTGGCTTTCTACATGGGCACAATACTAAACAAGGTTCGCATTTATGTACAGACATTCTAATACTGCGCAAGGTAATGGACACACTATTAACAACACATTTACATTCACAAATGACTCGAGTTTCCGTCAAGCACGCACAAAAATGGACGTAGCACACATAAAAAATAAGTGGTAACATTTTACTGTAGGAGAGTGTTCCTAACGGTACATTACACCTGCATAAGCCCTTCATGACAACTGGCACAGACACATATAAACATGTTTAAAGGCTTATTCCAATAGGCATCATTTAGCGTACAGGTTCCATATGCCCGCTTTTTGAGACATATTGAGGTCAAATAGTTACATCCACCTTTCCTGGACTGGGGCCTTGCCATGGCAGAGGGGCTTTTGTGGTCTAGCAATCGTCAGAGCCAAGTCGTCTGGAGCAGTATGCTCCTGGTACGGTCTCCCAAGGCGAACAGGTCTGGAGTGAAGACCCAGACTAACTTGATCCAAAATCCTCCATGACTAAGAGATTGTGCACCCTGCCCGAGAGAGGCTTACTGGGACCTACTCCTGGAGCCAGGGGGTAGTGATCCTCAGCGAGTGCCTGGTGGCCGGACAGCCCATGTAACCCAGCCAGGCTCAGCCTGAAAAGGCAACGTGGGGGGGCCATGTTGGGCCCTCCACCCGCAAGGTCCAGCATGGGGGGGACTGGTACAGTGCCGTATAGGCGGTGGGAGATGGCAGGGAGGTCCTAGGCAGCATGGACCCCTGCGGCAGAAAATGACTCGTGGTATGTGGAAATGTAACCTCACTGGAAGAGAAGGAGCCGGAGCTTGTGTGGGAGGTTGAGAGGGTTGTCTGGGATTCTCTGCTCTTCCAACTGCTACCAATCTGGATTAAGCAGTTAAAGACGATGATAATGAAGAGTTACGTCCAGACAACTAGGTCAGAGTATCTCAAACAGCAAGGCTTGTGGGGATCCTCCCGGTCAGCAATGGTAAGTTCCTGCTGACAGTCGTCCGAGGGGAGACACCCAAGGCTCACTGATGTCACACCTAGTCCGAACCAATGGAAGGGCTACTGTGGCAAAAGTCAGGGAAATTTTTAATGATTGTTACTGGAGGAAAGTGGCACAACACATTGCATCGCACCCTCCTGCGTATGGGGCCGATGGCAGGCCAGTCAAGAGTGCCCATGGAAACCCCTGTCCACCATCAAAAGCACCTACAAAGGGCATGTGACCATCAGAACTACATCTTGGAGACAGAAGAAGGTCGCCTGGACCAATAACTCTGGTTTACTTCTACACCACATGGACAGCCGAGTACATGTGCACTGTTTAACTGGGGAAGTGATGGCCCCAGGGATGCACTGTGGGAAGTAGACAAGCCAATGGAGGGAGTGTGATGCTCTGGGGCCTGGGTCCAGGCATTTATGTGGACGTCAGTGTGACACATGCCACCTACCTAAAGATGGTTGCGGGCCAGGTACACCCCTTCATGGCAGTGGTGTTCCCCTATAACAGTGGCCTCTTTCAGCAAGATCATGCTCCCTGCCACTGCATACATTGTTCAGGAATGGTTTTAGGAACATGACAAAGAGTTCAAGGTGTTGCTCTGGCCTTTAAATACCCCAGATCTCAGCCTGATCCAGCATCTGTGGGATCTGCTGGAACAAGACGTTCGATCCATATCCATCTCAGATCTGCAGCTCCACCTCACAACTTAGAGGTTCTGCTGCTCAGTGGGTTGGAGCTGTTTTGGTGGCATGCAGAGGACCAACAGCATATTTGGCAGGCGATCATAATGTTTTGACTCATTGGTGTACACTAAGCTACAAAGTCAGTTGTTATGCTGTCATTTCACCCAAAAACATGTCACCTGACGTAGGTATGTCAACTTGACAAAAGCAACCTTTATGACAGGTAATACAACACACCTTTATAAATGTTAATGTAGATTTATGTCAGTTGTCATGATGAGCTTAGATGTCATGTAGCCTTATGAACACTGACCTACAGGAAAGGTTTACCAACTAAAATCTCAAATGTCATACCACATGTATGCCTTCAAAATAAAAGTCATCATTTACAGTATGTTACTGGTTAGGCTTAATTGATTATTACGGTGTGGAAGGATAAACCAGCTAGTGTTTTACATGTGGTCCATTACAAAAGATTTGCACACTCCCATGTTAAAAAACCGTAGTCTTAAAATTATTCCCTTGATTTAATGCCCACTAAATGAAGACGACTCCATATTCCGATGATAAATCAGGATACAAAAAAAACATTCCCTTCAAATGCTTGTGGCTTCGTATGTACATCAGTTCGAAAACCTGTCATTCTTCCAAATTCAGAATGTGCTGAATTTGGACTATAACATTATCATGAAGACATATTGGAGGGGTATATTCTGGCGAGGATGTAGAAAATCTGTTTTGTTGTTATATTCCTTATATTGAAGCAATCACTGTCTCACAATGTCATTCATTATTTGCTTATTGAGATTAGTGTATCAGTAGTTTTAGGCCTCCTGCTGGGTATTGGGTGTAGGAGGCCTATTCTCAGCTGAATTCAAGTAAAGGCTTCCAAGTTTACTTCCTGCTAAACTGAAGACTGAAAAGCATGAGACATTCATCTCAGTAAGAACGTTCCTTCTCACAGCTGTTGCTACACTATCTCAAGTATTAAGAGTATGTACAGATGGTAAAGTATAGCCCTCGATATGTTCAGTGAAGTAAAATCAACATTCACTGCACGGAAAGCTTAAGTTGTTCCGACTTAGAAGAGTTGTGCAGATGCATTTTTTTTCGAGTAGTTTCAGCTCCATGATAATTAAACTCAACTCTTTTAGCAGTGTAAGCTAAGTAGTAAAGCAAAGGTTAAACTGAAAAAAAGTAGTCAAGACAAGTTTGTGTGAAGTTTGTGTCTTTAGTCAAAAAGATTTTGTGTGCCATAGACTTCCATTACTTTTGAGCCATATTAGCTCCATAGCACTATTCCTTTAAAGGTCATACAGTATGTAGGTCATAATGTTTTACATTAGTATTGTTGGTTTTGGTGTATAGCTTATAAAACTACTTTAAAGGGCCCATGGAAAGCCAGTTTTATTTATTTATTTATTTATTTTTAATTAAGTAGTACATAAACACACTTCAACTTTCAAAAATGTACCAGTCCACACACTTTATGTATGGAAGCTAAAGAGTCCATTTTGAATTTAAGTTTTTGTGATGTCACAAAAATCAATGCATTTACATATATCCACCTATTCGGCCTACAGCAGTGCTTTTTTGCAAACTGCTTTTTTGAATGTGGCACAATATAGGGCAGCCAATCAGATCAGTGATTGAGATAATTTACATATATCAGTCTTAAAGGCACAGTGACAAAAGCAGCCTGAAACTGAGGTTGGAAAATAGTCATGTGAAAATGAATTAGAACTATTTTTGCTACATAAAACCCCACAAAAAATGTTATAAGCGGCAAAAATTTAAATCCAAGAAAAATGTAAGATAAGGGACTTAGACGAGCCCTCAAATTCAGCTTAGTAGAGTCTCCTGAGAATAAACCAATTACAGTTGAATTTGCTGTTAGCACAGGAGGCCACACTGTTAAAAGAGTTAGAAATGTATGTATTAAAAAAAAAAAAAGCTGTGCAGCTTTTTTTCTCTTTTTCAGTGGAACAACTTTTCTTTCCAGTTCTCATACAGCCTCCAGTCTTGCTATTTTTGGGCATTACATGGGTGGACTTCTCACCCTGGCTTTTCAATTCCTATCTTGTGACAGAATGAGTAAATATATACAGCACAAACATTCCAACAAAGTCCACACACAGGAGCAAGACACATACATTATCATTAATACAAAATAAATAAAAGAATGAGGGAAGCTGAAACAAATATACAGAAGCTCCCCTTTCTTATTTGCATATAGGAAAAAAAAACAAAAAAACAAAAAACACACACACAATGCATTGGCTCAATCTTTCACCATTTGACCAAACTCCCACTGCATGTACGCATAGCACAAACAAAATCCACAGGCTCATGAGAAAAAGGGTGTAAAATAAGATGTTAGGAGAAAATGAGTGGCAAGTTACTTTCTGTGAAGCAAAAGAAGAGCGAGGAGGATTCTGGCGTATGACAAAAAGACAGATATCCTTAGACAGAGATGCGTCTTCCAAAAGTCTTTAGTAAGCGCTGGCTCCTCACCAGTCACAGAGACTTTTTTCAGTCATATATACATAGGAGTCTCCTGTCCAGTTAGGAGCCTAAACATGGCTGCCGGCATGGTCTTCATATGGATCTGTTTAAAGGAGAGAGATGGAACAAATGTTTAATAATAATGTAGCCAAAGTTCAAGCAATAACATCATTCTGGAAACTGTATTTTTACTCATCCTGTGACAAAACAGACATTACAATTGAAAAGCCAGAGTCGGACTTTATAATAGTTAAAGGGCCCATATCATGGAAAACTGAATTTGGCTCACTTTATTGAAATAAGAGTTTGATGTAGTATGTAAACACTGTTAAAGCTGGAAAAGCACTGGAAAAGCATACCATTCACTCCCCAGTCCATACAATCAATACACAGAAACTAAGCCGCAAAGCAATTTTGAATTCATTGTTTTTTGTGGTGCACATTTACATATATCCACCTAATTCTGCCTACAGCAGTCAATCCTTGCCCATTCATGCTGAGTGTTTCAGCTTGGACTGCTTTTTGAATATAGTTACAGACAGAGCAGCCACTCAGAACAGAGGCAGTTTACATATTACATATATATCGTTGCTGTCCAAAGAAAAACAAGTATCTCCAAAATAGTTACTTTACAGGAGAAGGCAAAAACAAACATTCTTAACTTTTAATCCAAGTTAATGCAAAGAGGTTTAATTTCAAGTAATTCTGGAGCATTTCTGCCGGTCCATTCATCATGAAATCTTTACGCAATATAACGGACAGTTGCCGTGTTTAAATGTATATTGTTGTTGATTCTAAGGGATAAATAGAGGTTGGAAAATGGTCATATAAAAATAATTACATCTGTTCTGTTTACATCTGTTACATGAAATAACTTTCTAAATGGACCTTGGAGGGAGAAAATAAAATGCAAAATCAATATTAAGCAAAATTTAGTTGCAAATCTGAGGATTTAACATGTGTGGTCAATTTAACATGGGTGAGCAATATGATAATAACAACATTATCACAATAAATTATGTATATCAGGGAGAAGATTATGTATATTGCAGGTATAATTATGTATATTGTGGGTATCAGTTCTTCCACAACACTGTTTAACTGCAAGATGCTCACATATGCTCTAGCTGGCATAGAGTTGGCGGAAGATTGAGAGTTTGAATTCTAACAAGGCAGAAAGTCTAAGAGAGCATAACAGCTCGCGGTTTCTGACAATATTTTTAAACGAGGCACTACTTATCTAACCTCAGAAATACTGTGATATGCATCATGTGTCATGAAAGTATCGTAATATTGTATTTTTGCCATTTTGCCCACACCTTGTGGTCAGACAGACAAAACTCTGTGAGCTGGGTTCCTTCCAGGCCACAGCTCTGCAGAGACTTCCTTCTTCTAACAGTCTGAGTTTAACCCATTAAGGCCTTGCTGATAAGCTGAGGTAAACTAGTTGAATCAAGTGTGTTTACTTGGGCAGAACATTAAAGTCTGCAGTTCTCTGGCCCACCACACGTCTGACACTTCCGCCTCAAGGTCTCACCTCGCCCACGGAGTTGGACAGGGCCTGTACGATCTTTTCGTGGGCTGTAGCCACCACGCTTTGGCCATTTATCTCGATGATGCGGTGGCCGACCCGCACACCTCCTCGCTCGGCTATTCCCCCGCGCATCAGACTGCAGATCTGTAAAGATAAACAGAGCGAGTTCAGCACTGAACTGATAGTACGTGCAAATGAAGGGGTCAGCTGCTTCTAGCCCAATGGTTCCCAAGCCTACACTGTTAGAAATAAAAAAAAGGTACATTTTTCATTCATAAAAGGTACAAAAATGTAAATGTACTCTTAAAAGATACAACAGTGGTTGTACCTTAAATACGTTTTCCCAGGTGAAAAGTACGTATTTGCATCTTTTCATACCCTAATGTTTTAAAACACAGCAAAAAAATAAAAAGCCTGGAGACGAGACGGGGTGTGTGGAGTCAATACAACTTAGAAAATATAATTTCAGTGGATTATGGTTCAGTTATGTTCCCTGACTGAAGGTACTGAGATGTACCCTTGATGGTACCACCCCAGTGACAAGAGGGAGACTGCCCCAATGACAGTTTAGTACCTTTATTTCTATGAGTGTAGTCTTGATAGAGAAGTTGGGCTGAGACTGCTTATCAATTTATGGCTAACAGCTGTGAAATCAATAAGATAAATTAATCATTTTTTTCCATTTTGTATGCATGAGTGAATGTCACACTGGCATTTAATGTTTGTTTATCGTATAGTATTTTCATACCAAGTAGATTTTAATGCACTGAAACCTTCACCTCAAGTCCAATGCGGTTTTTTAATTTAACACAGAGGACACAGGAGAAGGTGAAGAAACGGATCCACTGAGTAGTAACAGCCACAAAGTTATCATTTTTTAGCCAGTGCAAGGAGTTCAACCGTCATATGACTGTGTGTTTGTGTGGGTGGTGACTCTCTGATTCAGCTTGAGGCTAAGAACTCTAAAATGAGCGAACAAACTACAAGAGTAAACACGAGCTCTGATGTGAAAGGTGAAATTGTTTTTTGTATCTGTACTTGGATTTGGTGTGAAATGGTCTTTTGGCCTAGTTGCCTTCTCTGGCAAATGGAATCTGTACCAGATATACTGAGTATAACAATGATATCCACTTTGTTTTAAATAGTAAAAAAAAATAAAAAATAAAAAAATAAACCCCAAACCAATATTTATCGATAATTTTGTCCCAGTTAACTTGATTCAGCTGTACTTTGACATTTCATTTGAGCATATCTTTTGCATGGGCACTGCTTCTTAGCTTCAGTCATGTGACAGAGTCAATACAGCAGCCCTATTTATGAAGTATCAAACTGATATAGTAAAAAGGTGTTGAAGAACAATAACACTGCATTAAGGTTTCTCAACCATTTCAGAAACTGATTCCAGAACCTGTTTTTTTCCCCCCACTATGGAACTCCTCTATGTGCTGATTAGGAGTGAAAGGTTTTATGCTCGTTCTACTCACAATGCCATTCTGCACACTGAAGCCCAGCTGGTATTTGAGGTCAGGCCTCTTGATGAGGACTGTGGTCACAGGAGGGCAGCTCACTATGTTCAGCTTCACCTGCACCTGGTTCTTCAGGCCCTGAGGCATCAGAGAGGTTCAGAGAGCGCACAGATTAGCATCACGCCTACACAGCACTGTTTCACAGCTTGAATCCTTTTTTTTATTACACTGGTGTTCGCAGCACAGTCAGAAACTATATAAGCAAAAAGATCAACTATATGCTTCTCGGCTACTTTTGAGGAAAACTGTGCAAATTTGATTTGATTTTGACATTTAAACTGAAGGCAAACTGAGGGTGTATTATGCCAGTAAGTAATGAAAAATTCAGTGCCTTCAGAAAGCATGTAAGCAAGTCTGTTTGACATTACCTAACAACTGGACATGATTTACTGATGCACAAAATCTTCCATTACTTGTTAGTTACTTTAGCCTCAAAGCTCTAGTGCAAAATTAAAGAAGCAAACTTCAGACACCAAACATGTTTTGGCTGATCGACTACATTGAGTAAAACCACAGCCAGTTTACAGGAAGCCTGGCCACTTCTTATTTCTACCATTATATCAAAAATAGGACTGCGGATCGTTAGAGGGCGCTGCAAGCAAGTCCTCAATGAATGGGAATTGAATGGAGTTAAATGGCTAAAAACAAAAAAAAATCACTTTCTTTTATGTGGGAACTTGGAATTTTTGAAAGTAGAAGGATGTATCCCATTAAAAAAAAGAAAAACAATGAAAGCCAATCAGTATCTCTGTTTTTCTACAGCAACCAGGTTTTGGGCAGTAGGACACTAGCAGTACTGCACTGCAAAAAATGGTATCCTGTCAAGTGAAATGATCTTAAATCTAGTCAGTTTATCTAATATTTCCCATTTAGATATGGTTATGCACTTATAAGATTATCTGGCTTACTTCCAGATTTTTTACTTGTTTTAGGTCATTTTATGAAGTAAAATTATCTCACTGTACTGCTAGATAATTTTGCTGGTTTTAAGCACATTTCTTAAAACAAGCACACTTTTCTGCCAATATAGTGAGATAATTTTACTTGATAAAATTAGATTCAAGATTCAAGAGTTTTATTTACTTTGCTGTTCCTCCATTCACCAAATATAATCTTTGAGAAAATACACAAAGTAGAAATACACTAAAAACAAGAGTAAAACATAAAAAAACATTAACAAAAAAAAAAGTAAAAAAAGTCAAACCGTAAAAAACAAAATTACTTAAAACATAAAAAATGTCTAGCAATAAGTTAAATAATAAATAAAACCCATGAGACAGGGTGTTAAACAAATTTACTGATGTAATGGGATGTGAATTGTAACGTTGGGGATGAAGTGACCAAGAGCCAGGCTCAAACTGCCGATGTACTGATCAGCAGGCCGTGGAGTTACCACTGTGCCACTGAAAAGCACAGGCGACAGTGGGTAAAACACCTCAAGGAACGGGAGATAAAAAAGGCGGGAAAACAGCAAACAAAAGAAACGCTGAAGGCAGCTCAAACAAAGGCTGAACTAGAAACAAGAAATAAGAGATAATGAGAAAACAAAAGACACTTCCACTCTATTTATAATGGGAACGCAGACTTCATGCATTCCCATTATAAATGCGTTCATGCTTCATATGTTTGCTCTTAGAGCAAACACCTTTTGTATGGCTTGGAGCCGTTTGTAGCTCAAGCCTTCTTGTGTCTGAGGGCAGTTACTCACTCGTTTTTTCCCAGCCCTCTTTTCTTTTCTTTTTTTTTTTAATTTTATTTTTTCCTTTCCTTTTGTTTAAATACCCACCTGGGCTGTGTACCATACCAGTCACCCCTCTACAAAGGTGTGACAAAGGGTTGCTGTTTGCCACAACCTTAAGTAGAGGAGTCCACAGGTGTGTCTGGTTGGGCCTAATCAGCCCGAGGGCTTCTGGGAATTGGAGTTCCCTGAAGTTATGGCACTTCGCCGCCGTTGCCCTCTGCTGGCAGCCAGCGGCACAGACTGGGCACCTTGCCGCCATCGCCCTCTGCTGCGGCCGGCGGCACAGGCTGGAGCCTTACAAATTAAGCTTACAACAATCTCAACAGGAAAAATATAGTATACTATATTTAGGATAATTATAATTGGCAAGATACCATTTTTTGCAGTGTGTTGCTGAGTGTTGATTGGTTGGCAGGTTGATCAGCTCTTTGGCTGAGTAATAAAGCAGCTCACTGTTAGAAGGTCCTACAAACTGGAGTTCAAAGCACTTAAACATTTACAAGAAGTGCTAAAATATTTAATGCTGTTCTGCGTTGAGAAAACAGGTGCATTATTCTCTATAAAAATGATTAAGCACTTATTTACAATCTACAATTTTTCACAAAACATATTCATTTTGAAGTTACTTAAGAGCGCCCTCTAGTGTCTGACATACCCAGAAGACATTACTGAGCAGCAATTATCCTCACTAGAAATTCTCTGATAAAATTATTGCTCGTGGTAGCTTATAGACTACATTATTTATATACAGACTAAAAAGAGAATTAGACAAAACAACTGCAAAGCACTCTGTAGTGATGACCACATGACGCCTGTGCACCTTGATGATTCCCTGACAGGTGGCGAGTGGCAGTCCCACCAGGCTGGTGTTGTTGATGGACATAATCTGGTCACCGATGCTCAGCTTCCCTGAGCGGGCGGCCGGCCCTCCGTTCATCATGTTGGCCAGAATCACTGTGGGCAGGATGGAGCCCCAGCCCGACTCCACTATTACCACACCCAGAATCTCTCCCTTCTGCTTCTCCAAATGCAGCTGTGGAGGATGAAAGAAGGGGAGAGAGAGAGAAAGTCAATGATGTGACATGAATAATATAGCATTCCTATTCCTGTATAAGTGATATATGAAGAGCAGAAACACTGCATCACACAGGGATTGTTAACATTCAAAAAATATAAATATAACACTGTCTCCACAATTCTGTAGGCAGCTGAATGAATTCAGCTTCTTTAAGGTGCACCCATTACTGACAAAGCTGTTCAACTGCACGCACACAGCTTGTATAATCTCCAAAGACATGCACTGACCAATAGAATGGGACTCCTTAGAGCAGCCACACAAGTCTAAGGTCAATATGCCTGATGCCAAGCGTGGGCTAGAGGGGTATAAAGCCCCCCAGCACTGGTCTGTGGAGCAGTGGAACTGTGTTCTCTTGAGTGATGGAGCTCCAGTACCTTTGGGATGAGCTGGAGTGATCCAGAACTGACCATCCAACATCAGTACCTGACCTCACTCAATCAAAATCCTCACAGCAAATGTTCCAGTATCTAGAGTAAAGCCTTCCCACCTTGCCAATGTTAGTTTGATCATGCAAAAAAAAGAATGAACTCCTCTAACAGTGTGGCGGTTTACATGAAAACAAACAAAATATGGTTAATGCACTCTAAATTGAGGATTTTTTGCGAAAAAATACTGATAGTAGTGTAATAATTTCTCATAAGATTGAATGAGACTTTTATCAATGTTTTGTAAAGCTTGTCCAACCTGGCACCAGTCGCTACAAAAGAAAACTCATTTGTGGGTGGAGCGTGAATAGATCAATAGCTTCGGCCACAAAAGAAACAGCCAATAAAGCAAGCAATGACCTGGACTGGACTGAGCTGAATGTTGAGCAAGAGAGGCAGCCGCAGAGAAAGAAAGAGAGATTGCATGAAAATGGGCCAAGTCAATGTGTCTCTGCAGCAAGAAAGTAAATGAGTAATAAGCAGTGAAGTGCTGAGTGCCAGTAAGAGGATGCACTGAAGAGGGACAATGCGAGGCAATTAAGAAGCGCAATCAACTCCACCACATTACCCCAAACAACAGGACACAGCAGAGCACTGAATATCCAGCAGAAGCTGAACAGCACTGAGCATCTGCACACGGAGGCTGAAGGATCTGCTACAGCAGCCGTAATAACAGCACTGTGGAGCTGACTCAGGCCAAACGCACACTAGACTCTGATATTAGTCTCACTGCTTCACTGCACAACAAAAACACTGCAGGCGCCTTCTAATGTCCATACTTTCAGCACAGGAGGCAGAGGGCACGAGATTAAACTTTACTCTTTTTCAGAAAACGCTTCACTGCAGGTTCACTCTCTTATATTTGATGGACAGGCATGAAAGCAGCAAATAGCACTGCTGTCAAAAAAAGGTGAATGTCTGCTGAAAAGTGGCTACAATATTAAAATATTACTTATATGCTTTAAAGGATAAGCTAAAGGAATCTGAAAAACAACTGGCTGCCCTTAATTTCTTATTTTGATAGATAGTTAGATAAACTTTTTTTGCAAACATCCTCAATATTAGGTAGACCTAGCTCTTGTTAAGGGGTTCAGGGGATGAGATTATGGTTTACTTGGGTGAATTATAACTGATTTACACGTTCAGTTCTGTCATAGATATCTACATCATTCTAGTGCAACCTAGGTTTTGAGTTTCTATTATTATATGTAGGCTTATTTATTTAGGCAACCATGCTTGTCTCTATGTACACATCTGTCTTCTATCTATCTAGCTATCCTTCAAAAGTTTGGAAACACTGTTTCCATTAATATAAAACCATTTTTTTTGCAGGTAGATGTATAAAATGGCTCTATTTCGATTCTACAACTCTTCAAGTGTATATAGGTTTCAACTGATTACTAATTAATTACTAATTCTGGATATATATATCCAGTATGCCTTGTATTTGAATTTTACTTAAAGTAAAGGTTCTAAGACCCATGTGTCAAACACAAGGCCCGCAGGCCAGATCAGGCGCGCCACACAGTCCTATCCAGCCCGCAAAAATATTTTAATTGTCTTCGCATGTTTCACATTGTGCTGCACTACAGTCCCCAGCATGCACTGCAATGTAATGTGCTCCAACTCTCCTACTCCAACGACAGTCTACAAGGCAGAAGTTACACCTCAATTCTACACAATTCTGCACAATTCCACACCAGTCATATCACCAAATGCATTTCAGCGTCAGTTCAACCAATATAAACACTATAAACACTCAGCAGCTCAGAAATTGAGCCCAAGTCTTAATGAACTAGCAGCAAAGAAATGATGTTCAAGCAAGTAGGTAGGTTTAAAAGACTGAGTTCCTGGGGACGTTTACATTTTGAATATTTCAAGTGTCCATGTAATATTTTAAGGTCTACTACAAGTGTCTGTATTTTACTGCTGAGGTTTTTGCATATTTTGAATAAACAGGGGCCAGTACAGGTTACAGGCTATATTTATTAAAAATTATTATTTTTTTAATATGGCCGTTTTACTGGTTGAGTTTGACACCTCTGTTCTAAGAGGAGCCCTTCAAATGGCACAGAATATTTACGTTATATGAAGGTTCTTTAAATCTTTCAAAGGTTCTTCATACTGAAGTCTCTTTTTCAAATATGTCTCCTAAAGGGGAACAAAAAGTGGTTTTTCTAAGGAGCTGTAGGTGATTCCATAATAACGGAGAAAAAAAAAAAACTAAAAATCCCTGAAAACCCTTTTCCACCTTCTTTTTTATGCACGTAAAGTATCAAGAAATTCCTATAAGCAGATTTAAAGTATATTATTTGCCATTTAGTAAGTTCTTCCCATAAAGCTTGAAATATTCAATTGAAAATAGTGTATGTTATATAGCTTATAGTATTTCAATATACAAGGTGAGAATAACAATTATTATTGATATTTATGTATGATCTATTATTACTATCTATTTCCCTATTTTTCTCTTTTGTGCTTTGAGGGTATCCTGGTTTGTTGTGTTCTTTTCATATAAAAAAGCAAACAAAATATCTTTAAAAACAGAAATCATGCAAAAATCAGGCAGCCTTTAAAACTTTAAACCCTCCAACGGTACGTCATTGCTTTCTCTCTGATGCCATTGTCCTCTCCTTCACATTAATTCCACAGAGGCAGGAGGAGAGCTATTTTCAGCTATAGAGGCAGCAGAAGAGAACATAGGCAAACCCCAAAAGCAGTGAGGTAAAACTGCATCCAGCCACTGACCTCTTTGCAGTTTTCGGAGTTGGAGAAGTGAATGAGGTCGTCATTGTACATTTCCTGCGTGTTGATGATGTCGCTGTACTCTTTCTGGCTCAGGTCCTCCGGGTTGATGCCGTTGGCTCGGAGGAACTCCTGGTAGGCCACGCTGAAGGCCTGACCGATGGACTGGGCTATGAGCTGGGCCTGGACAGCCAGGAGAGGAGAAAGGAGAAACAAAACACAGCGTTTGAGCCAAGCGAGGGACAATAAGAGGCAATTAAGGAAAGCAACTGCCTTCACTACTTTACCCAAAACAATAGGACACAGCAGAGCACTGAACATAACAGAGAATCTGAACAGCACTGAATGTGTTGTGCTGCATGCTGAGGCTGAGAGATCTGCAATGGCAGCATTCTGTCGGGCTAAGCTCACTAGCCTCAGATATTAGTTTCACTGCTTCATTACACATCGGGAATGCTGCAGGCCACTTCTAATGTCCATGCTATAAGCACCTGGAATTAACAATTATCAGGCAAAACACTGTGTTCCTGTAGCGTAACAGCAGAGGAGACTGGATATATATGCAGGATAGTTTATTAACACCTTAAAAGACACTCTGGTTAAAAGGAAACCGTAACCACCGCTGCATTTGTCATAAACATGCCTACTTGCCTTCTATTGGTGTGATATTAGTCCCTACAGTAAGATTTTCAGATTTAAAGACAAGGAAAACCCTCTTCTGATCATGTATGTTGAAGGTGAGAGGAACTTTTGAAAGGGTGTGTATATATATATATATATTTATATTTATATATATAGCATTATACATAATTTATATATAATTATGCTGAATAAAGACCAAATCACTGTTTTCTTTACAATTTTGTTCAAGGACTGATATAAGAGCTACACTAATGCTAGCTTGGTTTTATTTGATAGAATACACTCTTTAAAAAGATGGTTCTTCAAGGGTTCTTCAGTAAAGAAAATGTATACAGAACCATGAACACTCAAAGAACCCTCTGAATTATTGAAGGGTTCTTTGCATTGTGAAAGGGTTATTCAGATTGATTAAGAATGTAGATGGTTCTACACATAAACTTGTTGAAAACGGTTCCATATGGCACCAAAAAGGGTTTTTCTATTGTGGCAATGTCAAGCTTCACTCTTAAAAAATATGGTCCTTAATTGTTCTTTGGTAAAGAAAAGAGTTCTATATAGAACCATGAACACTCAAAGAACCCTTTGCATCATTAAAGGGTTCTTTGCATTGTGAAAGGTTCAGATTGATAGAGAATGTGCTGTATAAGGTTCTATACAGAACCTTTTCGAAAAGGGTTCAGTCAACTAAAATGAGATAGAACCTTTTTCTGCTATTGGTACGATATGAGCTTGTAACAATAGAAAAACCCCTTTTGGTGCTATATAAAACCCTTTTCAGAAAGGTTCTATATAGAACCGTTTTCTTTACCGAAGAACTCTTGAAGAACCATCTCTTTTCAGAGTGTAGATCAGTGGCAAGGAGAGCAGTCAGGACTGGTTGACACCACAGGGATTCCTAATGGTTGTGTGATGTATCTGCATAATGCATGCTGGGTATTGTAGTGAGGAACAACTGATGAGCATAAAAATGATATAAAACCATCAATTGTGTCAAATCTATGAGGCTGATAGATATAATTCTGCACTATGCAGTATTACAGAACACAAGAAATAGCACAAACTCTAGGTTTAAGACAGAGCACCCCTTCAAATTCCTCATTACATACAAAGGCTTATTATTCAGTAATTACATGAAAAAACAATGCAAACCAAGCTATTCTTAGGTTAGAAGTGAAGACTAGCCTGGATCCACTGGAGTGTCCTGGTCATTTATATCACCCAATACTGACAGAGGCAAGCCTTACTGAAGCAGAGGTCCAGAAATATAGCAATGTTATGTCTTTACTTCTTATCATTTTCATTGTTCTCATTGTTCCCAGTGAGTAAGCATCTCTGCCTTTTCCACTGTTCACCTTCTTACACTTGTATGCAGCAGCTATGCCAGCCAAATATGAATCAGATACACATAATGCACTTCAATTCAATAGAAGACACTGTGTCACATCTCATTATAGTTGACTGAGTTTAGTTTGATGGCACTACTTGGGCCTTATTCTGCCCTGCACAAGTTTCATTGATTTTTACTTTTGAAAACAGATCGCTCTTGTACTGTTGCCTAAATAAAAGGCCAGCTATTTTCTTTGAAGACACAGCAACACAAAGACTTGTTGTGAAGTTTAAAACACAGTAAATCTTACTGTGCTGTCTGGCAGACTGGCTTTAAAAAAGAGTGAATCAATGAGAAATCCTCATTGAAGTCCTTTCAATGCTCATGCTCTCCAAAGGTGTGTGTAGCCTAAACTCAAGTAAAAGTTACGTTAAAAAAGTTAAAAGTACATTTCCCAAAAAAAACTTGAAGTAGGAGAACTAAAGTATCAGCAGTAGGTCTAAAAAGTACCCTAATACTTAGTAACTTATAGAACTGCACTAGAACTTCCTCATACATCCAGCATTTTTTCTTTTTTTTTTGAGGTTTTTCTAAAATGAAACAGGCCTCTGATGTAGAGGTCTGCACTAACATGGATTCCCGCCGGACCTGCAGGACCCACCACAATATCTTGCACTGTGGGACTAATTTTCATTGTTGCATGCGGGAGCGGGTGGGGAACCAGCCCACTGCAGGCAGGAGCAGGCCAAGAGAAATCTCTCAAAATGAATGAAAAGCCTAAATAAAGTAGAATGATCACTAAATCATATATATAAACAATAGAAAATGGTAACAGTAAAACATTTAAAATGAATGAAGGCATTCTAAAGAGCTGCGACGCAACCGATCATGTGTCACACTTCCCTTCGGCTCCCTGACATCATGTGAACAACACGCACATTCTCATAGCTTACAGAGATGGCCGATGGCCACAGCTGCCCAGCAAAACACCAAAAATAACCGCTCTGTGGTTTAATTCCTGCTTTATGTTTACTGGGAATAAATAGCATATGGTGAAACTACTTCACAGTGAGCCTGATGACGATGACCGCCATGTTATTTCAGCAGAGAATAACGTATTTGTGAATAGACTATGTCAGATATTGGACGTCAGCTCGCCTTGATGGAACTGTGCGGGTGGGAGCGGGACAAATGATTCCAATTTTCCGTGAGAGCAGGATAAAATCTTGCAGGAGCAGACAGGGTCGGGATTGCTGATCGGGACCCTCTAACGCTGCACTGTTAGTTTTCACTTTGGTAAAAATGAATGGCATCAAAAAACGCTGCTACTGCACCCTGTTGGTAAATTACATTTCCTAAACATGCAGTTTTCCTCCAAATGTCACCAGATCCTTCGAATTGTCATTCATTTGTCAAAATACAAATATGCTAACACTGCTAGACACTGAACTGACATCATAACACTGGAAACCAAAATGCCCCACCTTTTCAAACATTTCTGCATAATTCAGTTATTTTGATGTAAACACAGTCATTCAGTGTGGTCTGATGTGAAACGGTTCAATGTAGAGAAACTTTCTGACTCGGATTTCTTTACACTGGTGATGAAAAGAACCAGGGGTCAAGATCTTTACAATGCAAACATAACGTCATCTGAGTTTTTATATGTAGTGTTGATATAAAAGTGGGCAATATGGCATATTTTTTAGCTGTCGTGATAAACTATAAGCATTCCCGAGCATATTATGCATATCATCAGTACAGTGACCAACTACATGTTACAAAGAGGCCTGTTTCATTGAACTTTGTGCAGCACAATATGTGAAATGAAGAACAATAATAATTATTACATTAAATATTTTCGATAGCAGTTTTTAACTATAGATTACCAGTGCATTTTGTCTATGCTGAAATATGTGTGCTTGGTATCGTATATTATGAAAATGTCTTAGTATCATGATGTACTATTTTTTCCATATCGACCACCCTTGTGTTGTTTATGGTAAAATAGTGGGAAATCTGCAAAAATAAGCTTTCTTTGGGGACTACTTTGCCTTACAATGCACTGCATGTACCTCTCCACTATGAACGGATTTTAAAATTTTGTTTTAGGCCAAAATCTTAAAACAATGTCTCGTCCATCAGACAGTGTATTCATAACCATTTCATGGAATATCTTTCTGTGAGGGAGCTTTTGGAGGCATTAAACTCTTCAGACGTCTGGTTCCCATCACCACCACTGGGAACTATCCTGACTAGGTAAGTTTCTCTAGAGCGAAGCATTTTAAATCAAACCACACTGCATGACCTTTTTTCACATCGTAATGATTTTCTGAAAAAATGGTGGAATTCCCCTTTAATTTTTACACAGATTCAAGCAAGAGGCTGAGTCAGGATCTGCAGGGTAACGACTCACACTGTTTGGTTATTGATCACAGAGCAGACAGCTATACTGCGTCGCAGAGGCCTGGGGTACAGAGGAGTTTAAAAATAACCGTTCAAGTGTGGAAGTGCAGAGCTAAGACTAAATGACTCATTTAATACCACTCACTCACACACAATCACTTTCTTTCTTTCTTTTTCTCGCACTGGTCTGTTCAAGAGAGAGCTTAATTAGCCAGCATGAGTGAGTAACAGCTGCACTGCAGAGGACGAGATTGCAAAGGAGGAACAGCCTCATTACAGACTGGAGGCTTTCTGCGCCCAATATGACCTCAAAAAACCATCGCTAATGCAAAAAACACACTGCTGCGTCATTTACATACATATTTACAATAGTCTTGTGTTTTTTACATCACAACATGATACTTTTTCAATACTAAATGTTTTATATAAAACACATATTAGTGTCATTCTCTATTTAGAGTGGAAACAAAGGTTGCAGGGCTTAAAAAGATGCTTAAAATATTAGGCACAGCTCCAAAAGCCAGTAGGTACATTTATACAGTTAACTTAAGATTAACACATTTTCTTACGAATTCTCTGACTTTTCTTTTTTTTGTCATGTTTCATAGTCACTCTGCATATGTAAAACAGCTCATCACAAAACCAAATGTCAACATTTGAGAAACCATAAACAATATTTTTAAGAGTTTAACTTACTTTTTATATCATTAACATTATTCTACATTTAGAAAGTATGTATTTTTTTAAATTTATTGTAATTAATTTGTCATAGAGGTTTTGGTCACTGGTGTTATCAGGACTCATATTACATTTTTTAATATAGTATTTTCAGCTCTATTAAGCTGCTTCTTTGGGTCGAGGCTCATCAGAGAGGAAGCATCTCAAGCCTGAGAAGGTGAGTCACACTTGCTCACTATATTTCATTAATTTATTAATAAATTTGTTTATCGGGCATTACTTCTATGTGTCACTGGTGTTATGTGCTTTCATAGCTGGGTAAATAAAATTTTGTCAAAATAATGCAAAATATCATTTTTTAAATAGTTGCGCAAGGTCACCTGGCCATCAATGGGCCAGCCAATTTACAAAATCCTCAGTTTTAACCAGAATGTCACTGGAGTCACCGTCACTGGTGTTACACCATATCCATACAACACCAGTGACTGTAAAATATGTTTGGAATTAAGCTCTACTTTTTGCAAATATGATAATAGGAGATGTTAATGGACAGATTAAGACTGTTTAGTTTTGGAAGGAAAGAAAGTGATTGTTTTTAAAAAATGTATCCACCTGACTTCCCACTGCAAATGAAGGATAACCCATTAAAACATTTAATATATTTGATATATTTTGTGGCTCAATCACTTGTAGCAAACTTGGAAGTTCAGGACTCTCTAAAGCCAAGTAGTGATGCAAATCAGAAGCTATAAACATCCCTACAGAGCAAGTTATTTGTTTTGCCCGTACAGAATTGGCACTTAGCGGCTGCTTAAATCCTGTGGGAAGATCAGCAGCTGAGACTCATGTTTTCTCCATAGGGCTGAAGTTGGCTTCCTATTCGCCAACTTTCCATTCCACCTTAAATGGAGCACCAGTAACATGTAACTGCAGGTCCACTGAAGGTGAAATGGAAACTTCGTAAAAAGAAGCTGGCTAATATTAGCTTTGTGTTTTCTCCTCGCTCCAGTAACTGACACACTGGGACTTCACTCGGTGATGTCCTCACAAATTAGTAGGCATAGTTAAGGTAGCACTGCCACTGTTCAATCCGCCACTCTTTGCCCACCATTACTGTACTCAACTGAGGAACCGAAGCATTTTCAAACAGGAGATGACATCAAGGATGATGTTGCTTCTTCCAGCTCAAGTTTGCTCTCTCTGCTTGCCATTTCAAACAGCTTGGCTAATTAACAGTCCAAGGTAGGTTAACCAAGCCAGTTCTTAGAGTTGTGCAGTGGAGTTTTTTAACATTTGTAATTAACCGTTTTAGGAATATCATGGATTGTGTTAAGTAAGCATTCCCAGTATCACACACTTTATAGCATGAAATCTAAATTAAATTCACATATCATCTCACAACCCCGTGTTTTGGAAAAAAAATATTATTAACATGCATATTGTGATACTCTTAAGCAAACAGTAACACCAGCAACTAAATGATAGCTCTAATCTGCAGGGAGGGGAAAAACTACACAAATAACTACATGATAGCCCCCAATATTGCTGTTAATTAAAAACAGCAAAACCTTAACCATGCAGAAATGTCACTATGATACTTGAATAATGGCTTATAATAAAATAATACAATCATTTAGTCTATAGTCTAATCTATAACTTGACAAAATTACAAATGCAGTCAATAAGCTTCAATGATAATAGAAGAGTAGAGGGTGACGTTGTGTTTTTCTGAAGTCACTACCCTGTAAGTTACTTGATGTGTCATGCACCCCTCCAGCCATGACTCTCAGGACTGGGTGATTATGTGACACCTAGGCCACCTGGTTCCACCTGTCAGAGATCGGCTTCACCGGACTATTGATGTTATATGTTCACCTGTGAGTTTGATCAAGTGACTATATCCAGGTAGTTTATAATCCTGCTCTTTAGGTTTAGTTAGTTGTGTATCGCTTCTTCTATAGAGCTACTGACCGTTCTTGTCCATGCTCTGTGTTCTTTGTGTATCTGACCCTTTATTTGTGTTTATCGACTTTCGCCTTTTGCCTGTTCCCTTTTTGGATTTCGGTTGCCTGGACTCATGTTTGCATATTGCTCGCTCATTTTGGATCTGACCTTCTCCTGTTTTTTGACTTCCATTGTGGATTTTGGACAAACAATTAAAGCCTCTTCTTCACCTTTTAACCGTGAGCATCTGACTAAGTCTGTCCCGTTACATGATGAAGTGTTTTCTTTTTCAAAATATCTTTTATGTCATGCATTCAGCAAGCTGTCAAAAGGAAACGGACTCCATCTCCCAGAATCCAATGGGTAATGGAGGCCGACACGGACTCCGTTACCCAGAGTTCTCGGGGAACTCACATGATCTCTGACTCGCGGACGCGCTCCTATCAGAGATATCAATCCCCTGAATACTAATGTGTCGCACCTGTGTATTTTGTCATATGACTCGTGTTGTTTAGTTTAAAATCCCGGGCTTTAGGTAGGAAAGTTGCGAGGTATTGTTTCCCTGTGAACTACTGAGCATTTGTATTCTGATTACAGGTATTCTGTTTTTGACCACTGCTTTGTTTATTTGGATTCTGCCTAACCCTTCTTGTACTTTTGCCCGTCTCGACTGATCTGTGTTTTTGAACCCTTTTGCCTGTTAATTGGATTACGTTTTTGCCCTGCCCTCATTGGTTTGTTCGCTTGGTGTTATGATCACCTTTCTTTTGTGTTTATTGGACTCGACCCACGCCTGTTTCTTGACCACGTTTTTGCCGTGTGTGATTAAAACTGCTGTGATCTTTTCAATCTGCGAGTGTCTGGTTTCTGTCAGATCGTTACATTTTAAGTGACTGTGCTGTGAAGAAAACACTAATCTCTGTCATGGAAAAAAAAATCTTAATATAGTTCTGCTGGACAGATATCATTTGTGGTAGCACATATTTAAATGTAATTTCCTCTTCCTCATTACTGCCCACCATCCTGCTGCCTCTCACTGTGTTTTCTGTTTCCTCAGAGATCTGATTCTCCCTCTCATAGTTTTCACTTTACTCACGGTCGCTTCCTTATATATCGAATTCTCTGTACGCCCTCTTGTCTTGATGGTGACTTGGGTCACTGAAGTCTGAAGCTGAAATTATTGCTTGAAAGAAAAAAAGTGAGTGAATGAATCCAAACTTGAGTTAAAGTGAGCTCTTTTTTTGCTTTTTTGATGCAGATTTCTGATGGTCACATCTGTGAGCCCCCTCAAAGGGGTGCCTGTGGCAATCGCCCCTCCCCTCCGCTAAATTCATTGTTTTCTTCAGTGTACAGTTGTATAATATGAACAAAATTCATTCAAATTCAGTTACACTGCTGCACAATGTGACTCCGATATACCTTGCAATATATTAAAAATGCATTGGCCAATCAATAACGTCACATGGTTAAAGACTGGTCTGCATTATTTTGACCACAATAATTGACTTTTGTTGCATTAAATGAATACCATGTTTCATCAGGACACCCACAGAAACTCATCTGTAGCTGTAATTGGTCCAGATGCTCACAGTACACAGTACTAACACTGTGATTGGTTAGACACCTCGTTTGCATACTGCCATCTATAAATGGGGACAGAAATGTGGCATTTGGGAAAAATTCTGCCTAAGGAGAGATTTACTAAATAAATAAGCAACATATGTGCAGTTGATTTATCCTTTGAGGGACACATCAAACACCAAATATGCTCTCACTCTCACTACCCACCCCCCACACTCTCTTCTGCACTTTCTCTCTTACACATACACACTAGTTTTGGCCTACACTTACGTCCTCTGACTCAAAGACATGGCAGATCATCTTGTACTGTTTCTTGGCCTCAGGGGCTCCAGGGGTGGTCTCGATGCAGTCCTGCGAGGCAGAGCGGGGCATGCGCCGTCGGGCCATCAGCACCACAATGTTTCCGATGTCAGCGATGTACGAGATGGTGCGCAGGGCGTTGTCCATCATCGTCTCCTGCAGAAAAAAAACAACAACAACACTCACTCGTCTTCTCTGACAGATCGATATTTTTCTCCTGTCAGTTTTTATCGAGGCGTTATTTCACCAGGATTGCACAATATTTCTTTCATGTCGACTGCACACATGATCAGGAGACAAATGTGTCTCCTTCAACTGCATAGTTTCATACAGTGAAGAGTCCTACTCACGCTAAATAGAAATACAATTAGAAATGATTAAAACTAGAGACGTAGAAATACAGAGATGCATCACAATGCATCAATTAGAAGGTGGTGATCAATTAAAAGGTGCATCAATTAGAAGGTGGTGATCACTTAGAAGGTAGTGATCTAATCTCAGTTAATTTTGGTAAGTTAGATGTGATTATAAGCAACATTGTATAAATTATAAAGACGCTAAAGACTATTTTCAAATAGGAAAAAAAAAATCAGCATACCCTAGATTTCAAAAGTTTGGAAACACTTGCTGAACTTGGCCTCATAAAGCCTGAAATAATAATTTAAAAGTCAGAGGTGTCAGGTTGTTTTTCACACCACGTCATCACCTCTTTACGTACTACTGTCACACAAACAGCTTTAGAAAGAAGGTCCGGCTCCATTTTAGGTCTCAAATGCAAAATCAACACTATTCTGATGGAGACATGATGACAACAGTAGATCATTCACTCAAATCCTTGGAAGACACGTCATTCACCAAGTTTTGACTGACTTCTCTTTGAATTCTCGTTCAACGTGCTCACAATTATCAGATTCATCTGCTTGAGGAAGCTGTCCGAAGCACACCTGATGCATGCAATTACACATTTCTACCAGAGAGGTCTCCAAATACCCACACGTTACATAATGTAGCTTTAATTTTTTGTGTTTGTTTAATATACATTAATGACTAATACAACTGACATATTACAAATTATATTTCTAATATATTATATTATAACTATATTTCTAATATAAAGGTATTTTTAGATGTTTTGTTCAATATTTCAAGAATTCTCTGAACAAGAAGTAATACAGTTATAAATAATATGCTGTAATTATCAATTTACATTCATTTTTTTGTCAAATTAAATGCATTGAAATTTGATCTATACTTTTAAAATGCTTGGAAAAAACATGCTTGATGCTGTACAACTTTCTCGTCCAGTTCTGTTCATCATTCTGGACACATCTACCATTTCTTCATTTTACAGCTTTCTTACTAATTATCTGCAACCTAATATCTCTTATACAGTTTACAACACTGATTTGAACACTTTTGAACCTTTTTTTACTGTCAATATTTCACTACTGTTTAAAAAGTTTGTCCAGAGATTTTTTTCCTAATCTCATGGCAAAATGTTAGATTGCGTGCTGCACTGAATTAATAAAAATATATAGCGAGGCCATCTCTGATTTCAACAGTAAAGCTGTTCACACAGTCGTGGATTCTGGCCCTGTGTTAACCTGATTAACGGAGTGTATGTGGGTCATGGAACAGCATGTTGGAGCAGCATTTTTCTTCACACCTTCTACATGTTCAGGAGATACATCATTAGCCGGTCAGCACAATTAATGATCCAATCTGTGTGTGCATGCAGGGCACAGGCAGCCTTTAACCTTTCCAAGGCAGGGAGAGCGCAGCGGAGATCCATAGATTTCCATTCCGATCACACGCTGGGCAGCAGGCCAAGCACGGAGAATCAACGTCCTAATTAGTTCCTTGTTCCTCACTTTCCCCCAGGGATGAGGCTGTGAAGCTTTAAATTAAAGGGGCAGCAGGACACGACCTGTATTTACTAACAACTCCTGACTTTATGTCCACACCTGTGGCGTCTCAGACTGATCTTTGGAGTCCTTCAGATATAAGCAACATCATAAGCGTTAAACTCACAGTTACTAACTTAATTTACTGTTAAAATACTCTCTGCCTGGGTTTGTATTGCTGGCGTCTGATATTCAAATGCAAGCAAACATTAACACTTAAGGTGATAAATTATATGTATTCAAGCATTAAATATACTGCGTGCATAAACATTCAAACCCCATACACAGAAGTAGAGCCATGTTTTGCTGCAGTAAGAGCTTTAAAGTCAACCTAAAATTAAAATTTACTTTTTTTAATTTGTTAGTTCATGTTCTTGGTCTTATTTCTTATTGACCTATCGAACCAGCGATCCACTGGGAGACTCCATTCTGAGGATTTAAGCATGATAAGTGCGTTTTAAGAGGAAATTTCTTCTTAAGAACAGTTGGTGAATGAGGCTCTCAGTTTTCAAAATCAGTCATAATACACTTCAACATGACCATCTTCCTTAATCTTGATCTCTTTTATCTCTTAAAATTATACACAGTTTTTGTTACTATGACTTTAAGACTGATATATGTAAATATGCTCTGTTCTGATTGGCTGCCGGGGCTGAAACACTCAGTTCTAATGGGTGGAGCTAAACTGCTATAGGCAGTATAGCCAGATATAAAAGCATTGGTGACGTCATAAAAACATGATTTCAAATGGGCTGTTGCAGCTTAGTTTCCATATATGGACTGAACAGACTGAGGAATGAGTAGCATGTTTTGAAAAATTAACAGTGTTTACAGGCCACACACAAATTCTTATATTTCAAAAAAGTGAGGAAAACGTTTTTCCATGACATGGACCCTTTAAAAGATTCTTGTTTTCCATAATCCTTCATCGAAATGTAATGACATTTGTTCGCCTTTAAAATGTCTTCTCATTTTTAACTATGTGATCTTGGACGAGCGGATAGGGACAATAATATTAACAAGTCACAATATTAGCATGAATATGCAGGCTGGTGATTGATATTTAACAAATCCTTCTAGCCAGCTCACAAGATGTCTTGAAACAAGAAAATTTTCTGACTTTTTACTGCATTTTTATAGTATGTTTATTTGCTTTTATTCTAATGATACATAATATTTCTACTCCAAAAAAACGCTTACTTAATCCTGAGATAAATGGTGTAAAAAACTGCTTAGGTACCTAAAACTTGGACAGTACTGTGATGGTAGCATTTTTGTTCTTTTGTAAGATCACTCACTAAATGGATAGGACAGTGGATAACACCACTGCCTTACATAGGGAAGATTAGATGTTAGACGATTTGAGATTTTCCCATCCAGGCAGGGACCTTACAGCTACATCAATAAGAGTCAATAAGCTAAACTATTAATGCTACACTTACCTTATGTTGTAAGCTGCTGTGGATCAGAACTATTGCTGACTATGTGGATGTAAAGGCATGTTTATTCACTCTATGATCTAGCTATCCCATGGCCAGGTAAAATTATCAATGATCCATCTTTAGAGTTTATTTTCTCCCCAGTTTGGTCATGTCCGCCAGTTCTGTTACATTAGCTAACAGACGCCTGTGCTGGCTAGCATCATGCTGAGTGATCGGGGGAGATGGGGGGGGACACCCAGAGAGAGTGAGCCCAATTGTGTTCTCTTGAGCCACGGATGGCTGTAGCATCACCAGGAATTGAACACGCGCCACTCAGCAGTGCCATCTTTTGTAAACTTTTAGTGTATTTTTTTGTAAAACACAAAAAAAGTAATTGGTAATTGGTATCATTGGTATGGTAAACAACAACATATTGTACATAATAAAAATAACAAGTTATTTATTCTATATTAGCACATCCCCTTACTTTGAAGGTAAGTATAAGTTTTGCATGCTGGATTTTATCCCGTTCATGGCTAAGGTATCTAGTAAGTAAATAAATGAATAAATAAATAAATAAATAAATAAATAAATAAATAAGCAGGACAGGGTTTTGACTAAAGCCTGATAAAAGAGAATAAGCTTGCATGCAGGCTGAGATGAGTGCTCCGTCACTGCTGCCGCAAAGCTCCTCTCCTCGGAGAGAGACAGAGAAAGAGAGAGCGAGAGACACTGCATTGCAGTACATACACACTGTGTCCATGCCAGCCTGCCCACACACTGCTGTTCAGTTAAACTGAGAGCCCACACACACTTACACACACATATACACACAAAAAACAGACAAAAACATATACACAACCACACACACCTATGCACATACAGGTCACAAATGGATGTGCGCGCACACACACACACACACACACACACACACACATACGGTGACTGTGCTCATTATCAGCTCTCTGAACGCAACAAACACATACAGGCCCAGCATGAGACCAGACCATATGCTTATAATAACACTGCCAGCAGAGGTTACAAACCTGACATCCATCACCTTCTAGCTCACTAATGACAAAGCTTGATATACAGTACTGAGCAAATGTCTTAGACACCTCAGAAAATTACATTTAAAAAGCTACTTATGAGAGCGTAGAGATCAGAGAGTAAGTGTTTATGATCTTAGAAAAGCACTAATATTAATATGAGATAGTGATTTTATACGTCAGTGTGTTCATTTTAATCAAACCTCTCCTTCAAGAAGCCCAGTAATATTTGTAGTTATCATCCAACACATGGTTTGGCTAATCAATACTTCATTAAATTAATCCAGGTGTGCTGCTGATGGAATTTAACAAATGTAGGTGATGGTGGGGCATCGAGGACACATCCAGAACCAGCCCTGTATAGCTCAAAAAGATCTCAACTACTTGTTAAGAGCTTTTTTTCTATCTGTTTTTTTTTACATTTCTGATTGTTTACATTTATTCTGTTCTTAAAAACACAGAACCCCTGTTCTAATGGCAAAAACTGTAAAAACTACACACACTGCAGATTCATACTGGATTAAAATCACTCCACAATTATTACTGTCAGACTGTAAAAACTACACACACTGCAGATTCATACTGGATTAAAATCACTCCACAATTATTACTGTCAGACTGTAAAACTACACACACTGCAGATTCACACTGGATTAAAATCACTCCACAATTATTACTGTCAGACTGTAAAACTACACACACTGCAGATTCATACTGGATTAAAATCACTCCACAATTATTACCGTCAGACTGTAAAACTACACACACTGCAGATTCATACTGGATTAAAATCACTCCACAATTGTTACCATCAGACTGTAAAACTACAGATTCATACTACATTAAAACCACTCCATAATTATTACAAAGTTTCAGCCAACAACAAAAGACCATTCACACCATAATTATTACTGTCAGACTGTTAAAACTACACACACTGCAGATTCATACTGGATTAAAAATCTATCAACAATTATTACTGTCAGACTGTAAAACTACACACACTGCAGATTCATACTGGATTAAAAATCTATCAACAATTATTACTGTCAGACTGTAAAGCTACACACACTGCAGATTCATACTGGATTAAAATCTATCAACAATTATTGCCGTCAGACTGTAAAACTACACACACTGCAGATTCATACTGGATTAAAATCACTCCACAATTATTACCGTCAGACTGTAAAAACTACAGATTCATACTACATTAAAACCACTCCATAATTATTACAAAGTTTCAGCCAACAACAAAAGACCATTCGCACCATAATTATTACTGTCAGACTGTAAAAACTACACACACTGCAGATTCATACTGGATTAAAAATCTATCAACAATTATTACCGTCAGACTGTAAAACTACACACACTGCAGATTCATACTGAATTAAAATCACTCCACAATTATTACTGTCAGACTGTAAAACTACACACACTGCAGATTCACACTGGATTAAAATCGCTCCACAATTATTACTGTCAGACTGTAAAACTACACACACTGCAGATTCATACTGAATTAAAATCACTCCACAATTATTACTGTCAGACTGTAAAACTACACACACTGCAGATTCATACTGGATTAAAATCGCTCCACAATTATTACCGTCAGACTGTAAAACTACACAAACTGCAGATTCACACTGGATTAAAATCAATATATATGTCATTATATAACATTTCTCTCGACTCTTAGACTTTTGTATGCGTGCGGTATCGTCTTGACCAAAAGAGCCCATTGGTACACATTCCACATCATTTACATCATCTATAATTCAGGCTCTCATTCCAGCAGCAGTCTGCTCGTTGCCTGCATCTGATGGTTCAGAGATAATTCTGGATTGCACTGTGATTACATCAATATGTGAGAGGTTTTTTAACAAGCTTTAGCAATGCTCAACCATCAACACACGGCCACGCGCACGCAGGATTAAAGTTCAGCTCTAATCTCTCCGTAGATTACGTCTGCTATGGATTATGATAATATCATTTCATGACTTTCAGAGTCTTATGAGGTCAGGTAAATATATGACGTAATATGAGTGAAAACCAAAACCATATAATCATAATCTAATGCATAAAAATAGAGAGAATAAATGTAATCACTTGGCTGTCTTGCCCCTCTGCGTGTTGTTTTAAATTCTGTGGATTTTCTCTGAATGGTGCTTTTCTGAGCTGTGGTAATTAATTGTTGTGGCTGGTATCCAGCGTGTTTCGCATTTTAATTAGTTCGTCTACCGTCTTAACGACTTGCTTGCACTTAAGACTTTTCCATTAATCATTTATAAAAACATCAGAATTTTCTCCCCGTCTGCATACCTGTGTGTCTGCGTTGAGGACTTTGATCCGCTGAGTGGAAATGAAGAGGTCAACTTCAGTCAGCGTCTGCGCGTCCCCATCAGGACTCTATAGAGAAACACACAGAAAAATCATATAAGAGATAGCGCTCCCTTGTGGCACACAGCAGCCACATACACTTATTGCTTCTCACAAAGGCCCACAAGGGGCCAGTAGATAATATGCACTGCTGCTCCTTGGCCTCTATTGAAAGCATTCTAAATGCTTATTCATAAATCAGTGGCTAACGCAGGCTGGGCCGCAGGGGGGCCGGGACATATGCTTAGCCAGTAAACTGCGCTATTAATAGTCCAAACAGGAAAGAACACAGTACACAGAATGTGCATATTAAATATGATGGTAGTGCTCATCAGCAACAACTGAAGGTCAAGACTGTATGGCTTTCGAAATTATTGGCTAAAATTAATTTCAGCTTAATGCATGATTATTCAGACCGCTATCTCCTAAAATCACACCACACACAGAGACCACCCTTCATTTATTGAATTTCCAGTTAAAATGGTCATTAAATACAAGATTCTTCCTTTTTACAGTGGCAGAAAAAATCTGAAAATACACATTTAACAGAAAATTATACAGAAGCTTCAACAACTAAATATAATATCAAATCAGCTTCCATTTTTCAGGAAACTCACTTTTCAGACGTTGGTTGGATTTTCTGCTTTTAATAATCCAAGCTATCTCAAACACATTTAATGATATTGAGGACTGGACTCTGGGATGGACAGCCCATTGTGTCCAGAACACCAGTTTTGTTTGATTTGCAAATTTTCTTTCCTTTCTAACTTGCACTTAATGCTCAGACTGGACATTAATTAAATGAAGGGTGGTCTCAGTACTGTATGCTTGAAGGAACAGTTCGACCAAATTGACCATACATGCTAATGTTGCTAACAATGAGTGGAAGCATGATAACATTTGATTAATGCTAATTGGTGACAATTTGCATTTAATTCATTGTTAGCAACATTAGCAATATTAAGTTAACCATATCTTTAAGGGAATGTAGGGAATGAAAGGGAAATAATGAGATAAATAAATAAACAAATAAACAAAACAGCCATCTGTGCAGAGTGGTAGCCAAGCCGGAGGACAAGAAATTGAGAAATGATTGACAGGTGTGTGAGTGTGTGAGACAGCAAAAAGAGAGAGAGAAAGTGCGCGCGCGCGCGGAGAGAGAGAGAGAGAGAGAGAGAGAGAGAGAGAGAGAGATGTGGATGGACAGGTAGGACACAGAGTGATGCAGTACCGGCATTAGTGAGTGCATGGTGAATACTGGTGCTATATTAAGTCATCACCAGCTGCCCACTGCCTGCCAGTGACAATCACTCTGACATGACTGTTTTTGTTCCCTCTTCACTGCTGACCTTGCTGGGCTAACTGTAAATGGGCACATTCAACAGCACAACAAGCACTTTTTGACTGTTAGCAGTTATATTATGATTTACAACAAAAGCCTTTTGACATGGGCCTGAAACTGTTGGTACTTTGGCATGAGATAAAGTTCCTTGCCAAGTATTCTCTATACACTGTGGTCAGGTTCATATAAAGGGGCCATACCATGAAAAAATAAAATACTTTTTGCTTTTTTGAAAATGTAGAATGTTGCAGCACCATGTAAACACTAAGTTTCAAAATGTACCATTCATAAAATCCATGTAAAGGAAACTAAAGTGCAAAAAAAGCCCATTTTAAATTTCTTACAGCTATGATATTACAACCTTGAAGTTATTTCCATATGACCATTCATTCAACCTCTAACCATTTAGCCGGCCCATTCTAGCTGAAGTTATGCGGGGTGTTGTTCTTGCAGACAGTCCATAGCGGAGTTATTGGAGTGGAAGATGTGGCTGAATCGATTAAACATTGTGCTGTTCATGGCTCTCAGGAAGTAAGTGGATCATTGCAGGCTTTAAATGATTCACAAATCTAAAAGGAGCAAGTTTATTTTTCCCAGCGTCTGTGTGATAAATTGTATTTTTATCATTATTGCAATATGTATTTATAAGATAAACACATAGGTAAGGACTGCAACGACTGAATAGAACAAATTATGCCTCACATGGTGCCAGAGTGATGTAGTTAGATTGGCAGGAACATTGCCTTGGAACCAAGTGCCTTCCTACGCTTAGGTTTGAACTGTGCTCTCTTGCAAGAACACAACTCAAAAACTACTCTATCCTTAACTACTAGCTTACGAAAAGTATTTCAAACATGATGAATACTCTCACTCCCAGTGTTGCGTTAAATGTGTAAAGCAGTAATGGTTACTGTTACAACAAACTTGCATCACCATAAGGAGCTTTTTAAGAAATTAACTTGTTTATACTTGCAGCACATTCGGTTAGAGCAGGCATGTCAAACTGGGGACCTTCCCGGGCCAAAGTGCTGCAGAGATTAGCGTTTACCCTCATCTAACACTCTGAGCTCAATAAGGCCTTGCTAATTAGCTTATGAGCTGAATCAGGTGTGTTTAATGAGGCAGCGTGCTGAAGTCTGCAGTGTTTGGCCTGCAAGGATTGGAGCCTGACACATATGGGTTAGAGATAGAGTTACTGAATGATTATAGCTTCTCAAGTTGTCATTGTGACGCAACAGCTTTGTCAAACATCACATTTTATGTTCATATTCTGCAACTCCAGTCCGAAAACAACATTTTGCTCCATACACATGCTTTTGGACTGGGTCACCATACAGGGCAGCCAATCAGAGTCTTAACAAAAGTAGTCTGTTTTTCCTAAGTGACAAACAGTGAGTTTGGAAAATGGTCAGGTAAAAATGAATTATGACTATTAGTGGTACATAAAAGCATGCAGATGTTAGAAACTGATTTCAGTGAAGAAATAAAATACGAAAAACCAGAATATGGCCCCTTTAAATTACAAATCACAACCAAATCTCAAATCACACCGAATTATATAACAATAACGCTATTTTCTAGTCTTTCTCGTCCACAAACACCAGACAGAAAGAGGCAGAAGGAGATGGTTTTGGTAGCACAGATGAAGGACGAGCAGTGAGAGGGAAAGGGAAGTGGAAGCCATTTTTCTTGTTTAATGGTTTGTGTTTTTAAAGTATCTGTCTTTTTTTACACACCGCCTTTTTCTTGATTTTGGCTGCCTTCTGAACTCTCTGCGAGGCGTTGGGGCAGGACAGGGGTCATCACACACAGGAGCGGCAAAAAGGCGCAGCAGGAGGTTAAAGAAAACAAGCAAACAACACGTTACAACAAACAGGAAAATAAACAGATAAAGAGCCAAACATCAGGTCTGCCATCACCGGTCCATAAAGGGGTGTGATCGCACAGCTGTGTTCTGTCTAAAGTAGAACCAAACAGCAATTAGAGGAGAATGATCGTAATTGCTCTTTTGCTCCTATATAGACAAACAGTCATTGACATGGCATGCATATATATGTTTGATACTCATAATAAGACAAGAAGGAGAAAAAGGAATGTTGAATGTGTTATACATTCAGCTTTTGATTGGAATTGAAAATAAAGGATCCACATGCTGAATAGACAAAACATCTCACAAACTTTTAAATCAAGCTGGGCATGAATAACACCTCACTCCAACACTTAAGAAAACAGCTCATTTATGATTCATCATGGGCGTGAGGTGTTCATGAAGATGTTTACCAGCAGCCTACAGCAGAGAGTGAAAATAACAGTCAGCGGTCCTGTGGTCAAAATTGATCGATGATGACTGGGGTAGAGGGTGGATGATGAACTATGCAGCAGCAGGCAGGCTACAATAATTGTACACCAATGTAGTGAGCCTATAAGGTAGCTGGAGCTCATAAAGTGGCCAGTGAGTGGATGTACAAAGGTAGATGTTTCTAATAAAGTGGCCAGTGAGTGGATGTAAAAGGTAGATGTTTCTAATAAAGTGGCAGTAGTGGATGTAAAAGGTAGATGTTTCTAATAAAGTGGCCAGTGAGTGGATGTACAAAGGTAGATGTTTCTAATAAAGTGGCCAGTGAGTGGATGTACAAAGGTAGATGTTTCTAATAAAGTGGCCAGTGAGTGGATGTAAAAGGTAGATGTTTCTAATAAAGTGGCCAGTGAGTGGAAGTTCAAGGGACATGTTTCTATAAAGTGGCCAATGAGTGGAAGTATAAGGGAGTTGTTTCTAATAAAGTGGCCAGTGACTGGAAGTACAAGGTAGATGTGCCAAATAAAGTGGACAGTAAATGGAAATTCAAGGCAAGTGTTTCTAATAAAGTGGCCAAAGAGTGATAGTACAGGGTACTTGTTTCTAATAAAGAGGCCAGTGAGGGAAAGTACAGGATAGGTGTTTCTAAATAAATTGGCCAGCAAGTGGAAGTCCAATGAAAGTGTTTCTAATAAACTGGCCAGTGAGTAAAAGTACAAAGGAGGTTTTTCTAATAAAGTGGCCAGTGAATGTAAGGACAAGGTAGCTGTTTCTGATAAAGTGGCCAGTGAGTGAAAATTCAAGAGAAATGCTTCCAATAAAGTGTCCAGTGAGTGGAAGTACAGGGTACATGTTTCTAACAAAGTGGCCAGTGAGAGGAAGTACAGTGTAGGTGTTTCTAATAGTCAGTGAGTCTAAGTACAAGGGGGGTTTTTCTATTGACGTGGACAGTCAGTGTATTTGATAAAGTTGTCTGCATCTCAGAGATGGAGAGATTTTATGTTTCTTCACCAATATTTCTGTCTGTTTGTGAGAAGAAAATGACAACTATACATTTCAAAAGAAATAACACAAACTTAGATCTCCCCAGCATTTATAACTGGGGTATTTCTGTTTGAGAACACAACCTGAACTTGATGAACAGTCCGATGTATTAATGATGAGAGCCACAGGATACAGCAGACACACACACACACATACATTTATACTGCAGTCTCTGAGTGTGTGTAAATGTTGTGTTCTCCGCTCTAACCTTAACCTTGGCAGTCAAAACAGCCTCTTTTATTTTTCCAATAAAAGCTGCATTTTTTCCATTTAGAGAGCAGCCAAATGTCCCCACAAAGACAACATATTAATAATTTCATCGTTATGGTAACACTTCCAGATATTTTTAAAAAACATAGACTTTTTTCTCCATTTTTAAATTTTGTGTGCACCAGCAGCATTTTTGCGCTTCATCCACACGAGAATGCAAAAACAACTCAAAAACACTCACATGAGCATATCAGCCCAGTAGGGGGTGATAATACTATATTAAATTTGATGTCATATGCTTTAAGAACACTGCGAGCGTGAATTTAACAAAATACAGAGCATACTGCAAAGCTGCAGCAGGGATTTTCTGATGGTGATGGTGCCACATTATGAAATACTGAAAACAGTAGGCTTTGACTTGCAGGCTAACAGATGCTTTACACACGTTCAAAGCCTGATTTCTGCCAGAAAACAAAAGCTTAATAGCCGAAAGAAAGCCTACTGCTGCTGTGGGGTTGTTTACAATGCTGTAGCTATGCCACTGTCTCTAAAACACCAACACAGTCCTGATCATGCAGAGAAACTGAGTTTATCTAGCTTTTCACTCCATTTGAATTAGCAGTTATTTTTAAAATCTGACATAAGTTTATGACCATAAGTTCACGTTTCTTTAGAATCAATAAGGTATGTTAATACTTGCAGTTGAGTTGACATTCCCATTTAAAATAATAGGGCGCAGTACATTCTGATGCATATGCATTACAATTAAACGTTAGTGAAAAAGTAACTGTTAAAGCTAAATTCAGCTGTAAACAGGTTACCACCCCGCTAACTGCCAAACACACCTTGCATCAACATGCATTTTTGCTGATTGGATCACTTTCGGATTTCGCTTGACAGCAAAAAACCCTCCTGGATGCACTGTGATGTGACCTTCAAACACATCATTCAATCCACATTAAATGTGTTTTAGTTCTCTGAATACAAAGTATGTGAGTGGAAATGAGTCCGACTATCACGTGAGAGGATAAACAAGTAAAAGAAAGATGGATACGCAAGCCTGCACTCTGGGCCGATCACAGCGTCCAAGCCAAGCTTATCAGGGGCTGGATTTGAAGGCCGATAGCGTCACGGCGGCACGACTAGGCTGTCCCATTTCGAAGACTCCTTCATAAGCGGCTGAGAAATGTGTCCTCCTTTTTCATGGCAACGAAGGATTTAACGGGTGCATCCTTCACCAGCCAACATATCCCGAGGTTCACTGCGTGCCGGCGAGAATTCGAGAACATGGCGGCATCAACAGAGGAGCGAACGGAGGCTGAAGAGTACACTTTTAAATATAAGTTGAATATAAATAAATATAAGTTTTGAGTTTAAACTGAGGCGAATGGCTAATGATACAAATGTAAAAAAAAAACAAAAAAAAAACAAATAAACTATCTTATCAGTAGCTGGCGGTGAAGCATCTCCAGCTCTAACAAATTAAAAAATAAGCAATTAAAATCAAAGTTTCTGGCTCCATCTCTAAACAACTTTAACTTGACAAGAGTGGTGTTACGTGGCGCAGCAGTAAGGGCAGGAACAGCGGTGCTGTGACGCAAACAGAAAATCCGCTGTAGGGCAGACCGTCATTTCGGTTCAGCCTTTGCGGGTCTAAGCAGCTTTCGAAGGACATGCCTTCGTAGACCACATCCTTCGAAGGATCCAGCCCCTGAATTGGGACACACTGTTCGACTCATATTGTGATGGGAAAAAATAAACAAAAGTAAAACAGAAACAGCGCATGTGCTTTTTACATGGGGAAAGTGAAATCAGATCTCAGCTGTTCACACTGGTGAGGCATTTTAGTGAAAAGTGTAAATGGAATCAGACCAAACACCTGTTAATAGTTCTGCTCGCTCAATACATGAAAACAGCTACAGACATGCTGTCACTGCTGTGAAGAACTGCTCTCATGAAGCATCAAAAGCTATCTGACTACTAATGGCGCCCCCTTGTGGAGAATTTTTAGCCTGCTAAATGTGAGCGAGCAGGTTACAAGCCAGTTCCATGAGGTGCTTTGCAACAAAAAAAATGCATTTTCAAAAATATCTGAATATGTTTGGAGTGCATTATACAAAGAGCTGATAGAGAGCTATATACATAACCACACACACACACACACACACACACACACACACACACACACACACTCCTCTTTCACAGTGCTCTCATTCATGCAGCGGTCTGAGTTAGCATCTCTGCCTAAGGATACGCATTTAGTAAAGACATCACGCGTCAAAACCATTCAGCTCTCTCTCTCTCTCTCTCTCTCTCTCTTTCTCTCTCTCTCTCTCTCTCCCTTTCTCTGGTTCTCTTTTCTTAAACCCTCTCTCTTCCATTCTCTCTATCCTTTCCTCTTTTGCCTTTTCTCACTTATTCCTTTTCTCTCCCTTTCCCTCCTTCTGTTTCTCCCCTCGTTCTCTCTTTCCGTAAACCCTCTCTCTCTTTCATTCTCTCTCTACTCTTTCCTCTTTCTTTCTCCCTTTCTCTGTTTCTGTAACCCCTCTCTTCCCCCCTCTAATCCTTCTCTCCTTCTTTCTCTCTCTCCTTCTCTAACATTTATCGTCCTGTTTATCTCTCTTTCTCTAAACCCTTGGTCCTTTTTGCTTTCTCTCTCTATCCCTTCCTCTCTTTCTCCCTTTCTCTCCTGCTCTTTCTCGCTCCGTTACTCCTTTTCTCTTTCTAACCTAATTATTTCCCTCTTTCTCTCTCCATCCCTTTCTCTATTTCTTCCTCTTTCTCGTTCTCTTTCTCTCCCCCACTTACACATTTTTCTCTACCTTCCCCCTTCTCTGCCTCTCTGTCTCTCTCTTTCTCTCTCCATCTCTTTCATTCTCTCTATACCTTCCTCTTTCTCTCTTTCTGTAACACCTTTCTACCTCTTTTTTGCTTTCTCTCACCTGTCTCTCCTTCTTTCTCTCTTTTTCTCTAACCCTTATCTTTCTCTTTATCTCTCTTTGTCTAAACCCTCGCTCCTTTTTTGCTTTCTCTCTATCCCCTTCTCTCTTTCCTGCTCCCTGTTACTTTTTTTCTCTCTCTCTAACCCTTTTCTCCCTCTCTCTCCATCCCTTTCTCTTTCCTCCAATCTCTCATTCTCTTTTACACATTTTACTCTCTGTTTCCCCTCTCTCTCTCTCTCTCTCTCTCTCTCTCTCTCTCTCTCTCTCTCTCTCTCTTTCC